CCCGCTGTAAAGTCAAGGCTAGCACAGCTAGCGCCAGGACGGAGTAGGCAGTAAACTCAGCAAAAACGCGGTGCAATTAACACAAAGCTGACAGCGCTGCACGCTGCCGTAAGGTAGCCACGGGAGCATGCCCGAGTACAGTCACCACCGAGTGCAGTGCACCAGCAAGTGATCACGGGGCAATTCGCGCCACTGCTCACGCTCATACGTGCGAGAACACACACGTACACACGTCTCAACAATATACAATTCACACCGAATTGTGGCGTCGGAAAGCGCCAGGACACAGCAGTGCAAGGGCCACCTTTAAGTAAAGTAGCACCTGGCAGTATTGGCGGTATAACATACACGTATAAAATAGGGTACACATGGATGCAGCTAACAAGTCCCCCCCCCCCCCCCTCGGGCATTGGTTGCGAGATTAACCACCTTACCCTTGCTGTTAGGTGCTGTACCTGCCACCCTGGTATCACAGGCATGGTGGTGGTGGCCTGGCACAATTCAAACTTCCTAAGCTGGTTGTGTTTCTCAGCACAGACGTGATGATGGCTCCTGGCCGAAAAATTGACTGAGATATTGTAATTTGCAGCCATAGTGATACGTGTTTTTCCCCGAAGTATAGGGGAAGTTAAGCCTAAAATCAAATTTTCACCAGTTGTAGTCTTCGGGGTGCTGAGTCGAATGGTCTTGGTCCGAGGAAGCTGAGACGCTCCCTTCCTCCTTTGTTCCCAATGGAACCCGCTTACTTCCACCGAAACTGAGTGACTGCACCTTACTAGATGGGGATTTGTTTGCAAAATCTCACTAAAAGTGACATTTCGTTCTTATAAAAGCACGGATGACCGCGATTGGCCCATATGTTGTAGTCTTTTGGACGCTGAGTCAACTGGTTTTGGTCCGAAAAGGCTGCGATGCAGCGTTCGGCCCTTATTCCCAATCGAACATGGTTGAACAAGCGGTCACGTGCTCCTGCGTACATCAGTCACCTAGTCACCACGCCAGCAGGCGACAAATTTCACACCAAGGTTCAACTACAAAGGTGCAGAGGTTCAACTCGAGTGACAGAAACTCACCCAAACATGCTGTAAGTTGTAGCCTGCAGGCACAGTGACCAGGTGACTGGTGTACGCACGAGCACGTGACCGCTTGTCCAACCATGTTCGATTGGGAATAAGGGCCGAACGCTACATTGCAGCCTCTTCGGACCAAAACTAGTCGATTCAGCGTCCAAAAGACTACAACATATGGGCCAATCGCGGTCATCCGTGCTTTTATAAGAACGACACGGCGCTTTTAGTGAGATTTTACATACAAATCCCCATCTAGTAGGGCACAGTCACTCAGTTTCGGTGGAAGTGCGCGAGTTCGATTGGGAATAAAGAAGGAAGGGAGCGTTTCAGCGTCCTCGGACCAAGACCATTCGACTCAGCACCCCGAAGATTACAACTGGTGAAAATTTGATTTTAGGCTTAACTTCCCCTTTAACAAGAGCATTAGGCAGGCCAATGCAAACACATTGGAGAGAGAGAGAGAGAGAGAGAGAGAGAGAGAGAGAGAGAGAGAGAGAGAGAGAGAGAGAGAGAGAGAGAGAGAGAGAGAGAGAGAGAGAGAGAGAGAGAGAGAGAGAGAGAGAGAGAGAGAGAGAGAGAGAGAGAGAGAGAGAGAGAGAGAGAGAGAGAGAGCATGTGAGTGAGAGTGAAAAGGGACAGAGAAGGGGGGGGGGGGGACACGACGACCGATGACACTCCAGGCGTGTCAATTGGCGAAAGTGCTCAGTAGTTCATTTAGCTGTGCGGGGCAGACTTTCAGTTTTCATCAAAACAAGCGTAGGCACACATCCACAGCAGTGGAATCACAAAACAGATCAAAGCGTAACCAGACAAAACGTCATTTCCACTGCATAGGACTGGTAGAGTGAATTAAGCACAAGACAAACATAATAAAAAATTTAGATGCTGTGCTGGAAGGCAGGGAGCTGAGTGGTAGCCACACAGACAGAAATGGACAAAAACAATGCTGCGCACAGAGGGCAACGCACAGCAGAGCATGATGCACTGGGCGGGTCAACGGCCTCCACGGGCCCACACATGCGGGGCAGCCAGAACTAGTGTTGCAGGGCAAGCGGTGCCACCACAGCATTCTCTCCCATGAGCTCAAACATTTCTCGACATACCGTGATTTCAAGCTGACGCCAAAACTCACACTTGCGAAGCGCCAGCGGTGGACTCACAAGGTACCATATTTGGAGGTATAATGCCGCAGGAAGAGTCCTATGGGCAGTGTAATAATAGTAGTGGTGTAACACGTGATGGAGAATTTCTAGGGGCAAGTTCTGATGAAGTAGCTGGCATCGTGCCACCCGGGCGCTCTCCATCATGAGCGATGGTACGAACTGAAAAACCTCACGCACCCGTAGCAGCTCCGGCGAAATGAAATCCAGCGAGGGGGTGCCCAATGCCGCTGCGATATCGGAGCGGATAACAGCAAGTGGCGTACCGCTGTAGCACCCCAGCCACAGCCGAGTGCGCAGATGCTGCTCGAGCACTTCCGGTGGGTTGGACGACAGCTGATGCACCGTGGTTAAAATCAGGTCAGAGAAATGAAACTTGACCACGGCACCCAGCAATGTCAGGCAAAACAGGTTTGTCGTTGTCAGCCTGACGTGATAACGGTTTGTAGTGCCGGGGACCGGGAACGGTGGATTTAGTTGGTAATGCAGAATATCCTGTATTTGGACCCGACCGTCCACGGCAACAATCAAGTAGGCCCGAAAAGGCCTACTGAGAGCAAGTCTCCGAGCACCATTGGGATTGCCCAACAGTAGTCGGCGCAGCATCTTCAGGTAGCACGAGTGGGGATGCCACACATAGTACCAGCACCTTGCCACAAGCGAGGACACCATTCTCCGAGTAGCCCGCCCCACCGACACATTGGACGTGTCCACACAGACATGATGCCAGATACATGATACTAGCGGGCCCTCGTTGGCCAGCCACACAGACCAGAGCACTTGAAAGCTGTGCGGTGGTAGCGCATCAAAACCATAGCAGTGCGCGCGTCCTCCGCCAAGCGACGGGATGAGAAAGTCCGTAGTCGCACACGCATTCACTGGGTCCCAGGTGACCCTGCTTACTACACCACCATGCTGAGTGGCGACATTCTGCAAGGCTAGCAATAGCCTGAGCAGACCAGACGGGGGGGAGTCAGCTAGAACTGGACATTGCCTATTGGCAAGAGAAAGCTGCTGGCAAGCCATTGAACAACCACAAGACGAGAGGACTGACGATGATCGGTACACTGTACAGCTGGCACGCCGATACGTGCATACGAGACAAGGGGATGAGAAGAAAGAAGCCATTATATACACCGGCCTCAGCATTACTAACAGCAGCAGCACCAGTGTCAGCGCTAGAGCGATGGTCTGGTCGTGTTGAACTCCTACAATTCGCGCCAGCAAGTCCAGCAAAAGCTGGCACCATTTGCATGTATCACCGTTTGAGGCGTCATCTCAGTACAGGTCACATTACTACATACGCCTGTGAATACTTCACCACATACTTGAAACAAGTTAAGTGTGACGTTGCGCAACGCACAGAACTCCGAGGGGACCTGGTGGCACCATGCACCTACCATGCAGCCCGCTGTAAAGTCAAGGCCAGCACAGCTAGCGCCAGGACTGAGTAGGCTGTAAACTCAGCAAAAACGCGGTGTAAGTTACACAGGCTGACAGCGCTGCACGCTGTCGCAAGGTAGCCACGGGAGCATGCCTGAGTACAGTCACCACCGAGTGCAGTACACCAGCAAGTGATCACGGGGCAATTCGCGCCACTGCTCACGCTCATACGTGCGAGAACACACACGTACACACTCGCACACGTCTCGACAATATACAATTCACACCGAATTGTGACGTCGGAAAGCGCCAGGACACAGCAGTGCAAGGGGCACCTTCAAGTAAGGTACATGTAGCACCTGGCAGTATAACTTATAAGGTAGGGTACACATGGATGCAGCTAACAAGGTCCCCCCCCCCCCCTCGGGCATTGGTTGCGAGATTTACCACCTCACCCTTGCTGTTAGGCGCTGCATCTGCCACCCTGGTATCACAGGCATGGTGGTGGCCTGGCACAAGCGAAACTTCCTAAGCTGGTTGTGTTTCTCAACACAAACGTGATGATGGCTCCTGACCGAAAATTTGACTGAGATACAGGTGGAATCCTGATAATTCGAACATACCGCTTAATTAGAAGTTTTTCCAGGACCGATTTCTATCAATACGAGCCCCGCATAAAATTTTCTGATGATTCGAACCTCGAACTGGATATGTCCGGTTGATTCGAAGTCCCACAGATTCCACTTACATAGAAAATGTGTGGGATTTGTGCTGATAATTCGAAGTTAGCAAAGTGTAATTCGAAGTTCACTGTACATTGTACTGGTCAGTTCAGTTTGCATGAGCAGACTGTGCCGGTCAGTTCAGTATCCGCGAAATCTGTGTCTAAGGTCCATAGCGCAACTCTGCGCGACCATGAGAGCATTTTGACATACATATTGTGTTGTGGGCTCATGTTTGGATAATTAGAATGTCCGGATAATTAGAAGTTTTTTCCTGGCATTTTGAGGTTCGAATTATCAGGATTCCACCTGTATTGTAATTTGCAGCGAAGAGACCACTTGATTAGAGGATGGTGTGTGTAGGGTTTTTCATGTACCCTCGTTTAGACAGAAAAAACAAATTTTGAACTACCGTCTGCTCTGCATGTAAGTGAGGCCATCCGTTTATTTCCAATTAAATAATTATTATGTTTGCTACTAAGTGGAATGGGTTGTACGGAGCAAGGCAAAGAATGCAATGTTCGCGAGTACGTGACGGGCAATCAGCCGAGTCCACACCATGCATTACACAAACACGCACATAACATGCGTGCCAAGCAGGTCGACGATGGATAAGGTTGAGAAAACAGAAACAGTTCAAGCTACACGACCATGAGGGTACTAACCAAAACACGTAGAATAGGATCGGCAGTGCAATCAGCAAGACGAATGCGAGCAGGAACGGAAGCCTGTCAATGGATTTCCAGTCCTTACACTTCGCCATTGCTAATTGGTGGTTACAGAACGCATTCTCAGTACGCGGATAGAGAGATTCTAGGTTTGTCTTTGACTACAGTAACTCCTTCCTCTACAATTGAGCCAGAATAATTGAATACTATTTTCTAGTAAAATTTGACGCGCAAACCGCATTCAAGTATTCACTATCTGAATCATCACTCAGTGATCATCGCGCTGAGCCACACACTGACACAGTTAAAAAACAATCATGCAGCAAATGCACTTCGGTAGGTGTCTTCCCAGTCTTTCTCTTTTCTTGCCTCGATCGGCTACAGCTTGCCTGCTGTAGAGATTAAAATAATTGATTGTATGATACATCTGATCTTTCTGCATTTGGCAATCTTGTCCTTTTCTTGACTTGACCTACTAGTACTAGTATTTTTGTACTGAAGTTTTGTACGAGCGTCGTACTGTCGTATCCTTTCCCAACGCTTTTAGTGTTTTCGTACCGATTCGTACCAAATCGGGAACACAGATAAGGGCTACAAATAATTAATTGCAAAGTACAGTCATTGTATTTGTACACTGTATGTAGTACGAGCTGGAGTACCGGACCAGCTAGGCTTTAATTATTAGACTGGAGTCGAGTCCAGCGGCTCCGGACTCCAGCTCCAGTTTCACTGCATCTATGATCTACTGCAAGCATGGCCATGGCCATTCTTCTTCGCGAGCTTCATGGAAACTGAAAATCATGGAAATCATCGGACACTGCAATGTCGTGTTTGTTGGCAGTCGAAGAACGGACCGGTACGCGGTGTCACGTATTTACTGTCATTATGTCTATGGTCAAGGGAGTGACTGGGCACACCCCTGGCACGTCAATAGTATTAGTAGGCTACACTTTCCCCTAAAAATATTCGGTATTAAACAATCAGTATAATTATAAGCTAGAATAGTAGATAGTATGTGCCCTAGCATAAACATTTTAGTTGTGCAGATTGTAGGAGCAGGCACTTCATAATAATTACGGCGGTTTGATGGTCCTTTTCCATTCTCTCAACCTATGAATGGTTGATGGTAACCAGGGAGTAGTACATTATTATTGTACTACTCCCTGAATGGCCTGATGGTAACTGTGCACTTGTATTCAAAGCGGCACACTTCAAGGCTCCATAATTTGGAACAGAACACAGCACTTCTTATCTAACTTCTTGATTTTTTAAAGAAACTACTCACTAGCTGCTGGCGAGGTTAGATTATTTATTTATTAAAAATTTATTCTTGTTTTACTAGGGAATTAATTCCCAACAGGCGGCGACGCCTTTTTACAGGTAGTAGTAGTAGTAGCAGCAGCAGCAGCAGCAGCAGCAGTAGTAGAATTTATTATTTTGATAGGGTCACCCTAGGAACAGTCATTTTGATAGATGCGCGAAATTCAGCTGGTGACCAAGGCGTACATAGCCTGTGACTCAGGGGGACATCCACTCTCTTGCAGCTCACTGAGCTGATCCCTTTTCAAGTTAGTAACTATTTCAAAGTTGCCCGGCGTGGTGGAAACTAGCACGGTTACTTCCCACAACACCACCAGGCACAACCATCAGCTCTAGCATCAGGATGTCACTGGAGCTCAATAACTTACTTCCCTGGGTTTGGGAGGTCACTGGCTGATGTCGCCCTCAGTGACGCATCCTTAGAGACCTACCGTGCGTATCACCCTCGGGCTATATAGCTATGCCCTGATTACATGAACAAAAACATTAAAGGGGAAGTTAAGGCAAAAATTACGGTTGTAGTCTTCGGGGTGCTGAGTCGAATGGTCTTGGTCCGAGAAAGCTGAGACGCTCCCTTCCTACTTGAATCCCAATCGAACTCGCGCACTTCCACCGAAACTGGGTGACTGCGCCCTACTAGATGGGGATTTGTATGCAAAATGTCACTAAAAGCGCCATTTCGTTCTTATAAAAGCACGGATGACCGCGATTGGCCCATATGTTGTACTCTTTTGGACGCTGAGTCGACTGGTTTTGGTACGAAAAGGCTGCGATGCAGCGTTCCTCCTTTATTCCCAATCGAACATGGTTGAAGAAGCGGTCACGTGCTCCTGGGTGCCCAAATCACCTGGTCACCACGCCAGCAGGCGACAACTTACTTTCACACCAAGGTTCAACTCGAGTTAACTAGTTCAACTCGAGTGACAGGAGTGCACCCAAAAAAGCCTCAAACAGGCTAGTAAGTTGTACCCTGCAGGCACGGTGACAAGGTGACTGGCGTACGCAGGAGCACGTGACCGCTTGTTCAACCATGTTCGATTGGGAATAAAGGAGGAACGCTGCATCGCAGCCTTTTCGGACCAAAACCAGTCGACTCAGCGTCCAAAAGAGTATAACATATGGGCCAATCGCGGTCATCCGTGCTTTTATAAGAACGAAATGGCGCTTTTAGTGACATTTTGCATACAAATCCCCATCTAGTAGGGCGCAGTCACCCAGTTTCGGTGGAAGTGCGCGAGTTCGATTGGGATTCAAGTAGGAAGGGAGCGTCTCAGCTTCCTCGGACCATGACCATTCAACTCAGCACCCTGAAGACTACAACTGGTGAAATTTTAATTTTTGCCTTAACTTCCCCTTTAATGCTGCTTCAATAAATAATAATTTCCCCAGCAGACGTGTACATTTGCCAACAGCCGCAGTAACTAAATCGCAGTTCTGCCGGAATCATACTTTCCACGGATCAGTAAATCAGTCCAGATATCGCCGTCACCAGTCAGTTCATATACATGTACTTCAAGTAAATATATCCATGTTCAATGGAGTATTCTCCTTCTCTCTCTCTCTCTCTCTCTCTCTCTCTCTCTCTCTCTCTCTCTCTCTCTCTCTCTCTCTCTCTCTCTCTCTCTCTCATCCCGGACTCTCTTCGGAGGGCTCTGAAAGCGCTTGGGTTTTCTAATCGAAGAATAAAATTTATTTGTAATTTGTGCAGTAAGACGTCTCTGCGAAGCAGCTACATCATCTGGTTGCGACGTCAACAAAAACACTGGTCGGAAGATCCACTTTTCTGAGGTACTGTATGTGGGGCTCCGTTTATTGAGGTGCGTTGAAATTTATTCTATTTATCTTATTTCTTTTCTATAATTCCCCATATGAGTTCCTATCAGTTGCTGTGAACACCTTGAGTGGAGAGCGCTTGCTCGTGCGTTGAACCGGGTTCTTAATCCACCATACCCAGTTCGCAAGGCCGCGTGGGCGGGGTTGTGAGCAGGCTTTCATTTCATCTTTTCTTATTATTTCTTATTATTTCTGCTTTTCATCTCATTACAAAAATTCTGCGCTTTTTCTCCATCTGCGCATAAAATCTAGACTGACAACCTGCTTGTTAAAGGGGAAGTATACCCTAAAATCAAATTTTCACCAGTTGTAGTCTTCGGGGTGCTGAGTCGAATGGTCTTGGTCCGAGGAAGCTGAGACGCTCCCTTCCTACTTGAATCCCAATCGAACTCGCGCACTTCCACCGAAACTGGGTGACTGCGCCCTACTAGATGGGGATTTGTATGCAAAATGTCACTAAAAGCGCCATTTCGTTCTTATAAAAGCACGGATGACCGCGATTGGCCCATATGTTGTAGTCTTTTGGACGCTGAGTCGACTGGTTTTGGTCCGAAAAGGCTGCGATGCAGCGTTCCTCCTTTATTCCCAATCGAACATGGTTGAACAAGCGGTCACGTGCTCCTGCGTACGCCAGTCACCTGGTCACCGTGCCTGCAGGGTACAACTTACTAGCCTGTTTGACCTTTTTTGGGTGCAGTCCTGTCACTCGAGTTGAACTCGAGTTGAACCTTGGTGTGAAAGTTCTCGCCTGCTGGCGCGGTGACCAGGTGATTTGGGCACCCAGGAGCACGTGACCGCTTGTTCAACCATGTTCGATTGGGAATAAAGGAGGAACGCTGCATCGCAGCCTTTTCGGACCAAAACCAGTCGACTCAGCGTCCAAAAGACTACAACATATGGGCCAATCGCGGTCATCCGTGCTTTTATAAGAACGAAATGGCGCTTTTAGTGACATTTTGCATACAAATCCCCATCTAGTAGGGCGCAGTCACCCAGTTTCGGTGGAAGTGCGCGAGTTCGATTGGGATTCAAGTAGGAAGGGAGCGTCGCAGCTTCCTCGGACCAAGACCATTCGACTCAGCACCCAGAAGACTACAACTGGTGAAAATTTGATTTTAGGGTATACTTCCCCTTTAAATCATGCACCTGCTTTCAGGCATAAAAACCCTGTTGTAGAGGTCTCAGTCCTCATTTGTTAGACGTACCTGTCTTTATAAATGTAACTTACTCTCTCTCTCTCTCTCTCTCTCTCTCTCTCTCTCTCTCTCTCTCTCTCTCTCTCTCTCTCTCTCTCTCTCTCTCTTTCTCTCTCTCTCTCTCCCTCCCTCACAAGTATTCAGTACAGACTCAGTACTAATATAATTATCTGGCAATTGCCAGCAGAAACAGGAAAACCTCTTGTGGATGCCGACGATGTCGCTGTCAGATGTGCATGCCAAACACAGACAGAGTCGTGCCGCACCACTCATGATTCCGGCAAGGACTGTGACCTACACATAGCTTCCACTGTTACAGGCCGCGCTTTACAATATAAACTGGCTCGTCGGTGGATGTTCTGGCCTGCCTGGGACCCGGCTGATGGCCGCTCAAATCTCTCCTATGCATGTCACGATATAAACTGATAAGGACAGGAACGGCAACCACTCCTTCAAAAGTTCAAATCGGCTGCTTTCCAGCTAAACTGGACTGCAGAATGTGTACCATTCACGGTCACACCGTGCCGCCACAGCAAACCCTATTGAAGTACCGTTTGAGCGGGGGCCGGTGCATGACCGAATGAGTGACTGGACGGCCGCGGTGGTGGCTAGCAATGGCAGCACGTTGGCCGCGGTGTGCATGACGGATTGCAGCACGGGTAATTGTTGTGGCTGTTATTGATGCCGATCTGCGGCGGGGCGAACGTCATCGTCTTGTTGTGGTTGAGGACAAGGTCGTGTATTGCGGTCACAACTGACGCGTACGCTTCCGTGTCCAGCGGATATCTTTCCTTTGGGTCGGAATAGAGGTCGAATAACAGTGGCGGGTCGTGAGCTTGTAACCGTGTTGAACTGCGGCAGTCGACGTCGGGATAGTCATTATGACAGTGACTTCCCATCGTGTAGAAGTGCGCTTTGTACTGGTTGAGGCGTGCGGCCATCAAGAACTTCCCGCTGTAGTAGAACACGTGATCTCGGGGACTCTGCTGCGACCGTCCCGCGATGAAGTCGCTCAGGTCAAAGCCGTCCAGCACTCGGTCGGTCGGCAGCTGTCCACCGGCTAGCTTCAGAGCCGTGGGGAAGATGTCCATGGAGTTGACCAGCTCGTAGCTGAGTGTGTTTGGTTGGATGACGCCCGGCCACCACATGATGGCTGGCTCTCGCATGCCACCTTCCCAGGTGGTGCCCTTACCGCACTTGAGAGGCCCCTGCTCTCCGCCGAGAACATCGTGACCCAGGGCCGGACCATTGTCGCCAGTGAACACCACCAGAGTACGGTTGGCGATGCCGACCTGCTTCAGATAGGAGAGGATCTCTCCCACGTCGCCGTCGAACTGCGCCAGAGCATCGCCGAACAGGCCGCGTTCCGTCGTGTTGATGAAGTCCTTGGACGCAAACTGCGGCATGTGAGTGTGGTAAGATGCAAAGTAGAAAAAGAACGGACGGTTTTTGTTGTTGTCAATAAACGTCTTGGTCTCCGCCACGAACCGCGCATCAATATTCAGCAAATCGGACGGCTGCTCGATGATGGTGTCGTTGCGGAATACCATGCAGTTTGGGTCTTTCGATGTTAAATTTAGAATGGTCGAGTTGCAGGACACCAGATTGAATGGGCAGCCAAAGTAACTGTCGAAGCCACGCTTCGTCGGGTGGTACGCCTCTACGGAGCCCAGATGCCATTTGCCCACCATCCCACTGACGTAGCCGAGCGGTTTGAGCGCCTGTGCCAGCGTGGTTTCATTCAGCATCATACCGGCACTGCTATACGAACCAAACGTGGCCGAACCGGTGTCATCGTTCTTCTTCGGCTCCTCGTACACGCCACTCCGCGGGAACAGGCGTCCGGTTAGAATGGACGCCCGGGAGGGCGAGCACAGCGGAGCGGCCACGTAGAACTGAGTGAAGCGCATGCCCTCTTTCGCCATCTGGTCTAGGTTTGGCGTGCTGGTGGTCGGATGGCCGTAAACGTTCAGGTCTCCGTATCCCATGTCATCGCCGAATAAGATGATGATATTGGGCTTCTCCGGCAGCTCGGCGGAGAGATCATGCGCTTTCCGCAACGGAGTCGCCCGGCTCGTGTCGGCACCGCCTCCTTCTCCCTGTCCGTGATCAAACTGCAGTTGATCGGCGAACGCTCGGGTTCCATCGTGCTTTTCGTAATGGACGCGACCGGCGGCCACGGACAGGCCTACGGCGATCGCCAAGAAAGTAACAACAAATCGCTTCAAAAGCATTCTGGAATTTAGCCCACTGGGGTGAATGAAGCAAACAGCCCGGAGAAGCCGAATTTAATCAAGAAACGAGACGCTGTCAACAAAAAGTAGCGAAGGACTAGTATGAAGGAGAGTAAATAACAGCAAAAAGCTAAATCAAGCTCCGATAGAGTTTGCCACGACCAGGGGGGGGGGGCTTTCACGACTCCCTGGCCACGACCAACGGTGTTGAACCAGTGCATGCAGTGGGGTGATGAGCCGGTGACAGCGATGAAAAAGATAGGGGCTAGCTGCATGTAGCTCGGTATGGTCGTACAAAAATTACGAAGTCAATGCCGGGCTTCAGCTTGTCACAAAATAACGCGAAAGGAAAAAGCCTTCTGTAAGGTTCGAGGAATCGAGGTGCGAATCTTTCCATTTCTTCCTCGGAGAATGTTTATTACCGGTACTGATGTCCCTAGATTGCAATGGTGGGTTGTTCACTCACATTCTCCTTCGTCTTGGGAGGCAGGTGGAAAAAAGGCAAACTATATTTCGTGTGGTCATTTCTTAACAGCATAGTAAAATTGGCTTCAGCAGCACAAATATTTCAAGTCAGGTTTCAATAGAAAGAGAGCCTACATATCCAGGGCGGTGCAGCGAAACTGGATCAAGATCATGTTCATCCAAATACAAAAGCCATTCAAGTTTGCATAGCAACAGGTGTATCACCATGATTTCATGTCCAATTGTGGTCAACATCGGTTAGTGAATTCAGTAATAGCCAATGTTTGGCCATTGCCAGGGTCAAAACACCGACATTCCTCCTGGCATATGACAGATGCTCCAATGCGTGACCTCTGCTCAGTTCTGCTAATCAAGGCAGACCGCCTGCTTCTGAGAAATCACTCAGCAGTTCCGATTGACCGCTGAACCCAGCAAGTCCATCAGATAACCAGCCACCACAGCCGATTGACACCATAGCAAAGAAGGCACGCGCTTTTTGGTACAATCCCGTTGGCTTTCTCCAAGTCATCGTGTTCAAGTTAATCCTCCACAGTGTCTGTGTGGCTGTGGCGCTAGCCGGTGCTGACTTGTTTGGCATCATGCCCCACATCATGGCCAGTTCACTGCCATTGCACCACATGAGAGTTTGGCCGAACAATGGCGGTGGTCTGACAGTCTCGACGCTCGGAGTCAGCCTCGTCCAAGTCATTTTACCAGAGAGCAACGCTTCGGCACTGTCCCACTTCAGTGTCCACAGGTCGTCGTAGAACCAATCCTGGTAGAAACGGCCAGTGCCGGAGGCACCTCCGTACATGAACATAGTGTTTGCAAAGCTAGAGTGCAAGCTACAAGCATGATACGCCCTGGGCCCGGGTGTATCGTCCTTGCGATGTGTTGGAGTACCTCTCATCAGCTTTCCCTCTTGATTCCAGTATGCTGAGGGGGTGGCCCGGTTGGGAAATGTGTACCAGTGCTGGCTTGTCGTGTTGAATATGACGACATCCTCTAAGAACGTGTACTTCAGGTACTGGGTGAGCGTAGCCTGAAGGCCTCCGAATACGATCATCAGATCCTTCCAATGCACGGTGCTGTGGTAGGCACGGTGTGGGGGTGCCGCCGTGCCGTTGATGGCCGTCCATCTGTGCCGCTCCGTGTCGAAGAACCAAGTGTCAGCGCTTGTTGGCCCGCTCTGCGCGCCGACTCCGCCAAAAATGAACAAGGTGGTCACGCCGGAGCCCGATCCAGGTCTGTCAAACCCTACAACGCTGCATCCTGACCTCGCTGATGCATACGTCGGGGAATTCCCCGTGTTTACTATAGGTGTCTCGCCATCGGTTGTAGTATTTGGTTGGCTCCACAGTCTCCACCAGGAGATTTGACCGCTGTGCTCGTCCCAGTACATCTTCCATGCTTCATTGCTGAAGCCGGTACATCCGTGCCACAGCGCCAAGCTGCCAAACGAACTCGTGTAGTCGTTACTCATATTCACACAGCCGCCGAACAGGTACACATCTCCAACGTACATATCCCACGCATCCATGCCATGGCCGGCCCGCGCCGACGGTGGACCATCGTCACCGACTCCTTGCTCGAAGTCTTTCCCATTTCTAGAGGTCGTAGTCCGACGATGCAACTGCAAGTCGTCATCGGCCTTCGACGCGTGTATGGCAAATAGGATGACTGTTACACCGGTAAGCAGATTCACCAACCATGTGCTCGCCATTCCTTCGCTGTATGCCGGCTAGGCTGCCGGTTGGCTGCTTCTTATCTTGGGCTGTACCGGTACTGTAGTAGCGATGGATGCATCGATGCCTCACACAGTCCGATCCGAGCCGAAGCAACTATCGCATTTACTGGATGAATGTTGGGAAGGGCAGGTTCGCTGGAGAACTTTCCTTTTTCGACGGCAGGAGAGGCCACAATCGTTCCATTCGTCCCCTATGCTCACCATGCCACACATACCGATATTACCGGTCCGGTAATCATTGTGCGAACACACGTGAAAATTAATTGTGCGGGCAAATAGGCTATGAATGATCCTGATCCTCGGCCAAAACACCATGCTATCCAGTGCTTTGATTGTGTGGGCCTTGTTTCCCATGTGCTCCACTTGACAAGATCGCTCAGATTTGGCGACAGTCAGTGTCAGATAAACACGGGCCGGGGAATACTACTTTTTACTAGTGCACAATGAATTACGAAAATTGGCTTCTCAGTCTGCCACTTGATTTTGATGCGATGTGGTAGAAAGATGATGCCCCACTCTACGCTCGTACTCCAGAAGTAAATCGTGTGAATGTTCATCTGTGTTCGCCGTGTTTAGTAGCTGCTACTAGAATCGAGCAAACGGTCCGTAGATCGACGGTGTTGTAGTCTTCCTGACCCACTGAGTGTTCACACGAATCATTCAGGATTCTTCTACATACACCTTTAGCCGATATTACGGGAATGGATTGATGATTTCGGACCGATCGGCGAAGCTTCTTTTGAAATCATGCAGCAGCAGTGCGGTTGCAGTAGCCGTCACCGCTACTAACACTAACAGTACTACTAAGTACGCTGGAGTTACTAGTTTGTGGATCAGACCACGGAGCAGGAAAATCTGTGCGACGATGAACCCATGGCCATGGCTAGTACTAGTAGTAGCGATTGTCCTGTCAGTCATACAAACATCCAGAAGTGATGGTGGTGCACACACACAAACCGTGACCTCCAGAAAAGGGAAAGACTTCGAACACGGAGTCGGTGGCGATGGTCCACCGTCGGCGCGGGCTGGCCATGGCATGGATGCGTGGGATATGTACGTTGGAGAAGTGTACCTATTTGGCGGCTGTGTGAACATGAGTAACAACTACACGAGTTCGTTTGGCAGCTTGGCGCTATGGCACGGATGTACCGGCTTCAGCAATGAAGTGTGGAAAATGTACTCGGACGAGCACAGCGGTCAAATTTCCTGGTGGAGACTGTGGAGCCAACCAAATACAACCCGGGACTCGTACATGCACCGCGATCCCTTCAACGGGGAATCTGCAGCGTATGCGTCGGCAAGAGCCGGGTGTTCCGTGATAGGATTCGATAGTCCAGACTCAGCAGCGACGACCCTATTTGTCTTCGGCGGTGTCGGGTTGCAGGACGGGCCCACCACCGCCGACACTTGGCTGTTCGACACGGCACAGGGCGCGTGGACAGCAGTGAATGTCTCGACGCCTCCACCACCGCGTGCATATCACAGTACGGTCCACTGGAAGGATCTCATGATCATCTTCGGTGGCCTGCAAGTCACGTTCGATGTTCATCACTACACAATGTACACGTTCGCTGGCGATGTGGCCGTATTTAACACCACGAGCCGACGGTGGTACACGTTCGACGACGCCAACCCCTCGCCACAATGGAATCAAGAGGGAATCATGGTGGGGCATCCTCAGGCCCTGCATCAAAGCAACGATGCGCCCGTACCTAGAGCCTATCACGCCGCTAGCCTGCACTCCAGCTTTGCGAACACCATGTTTGTGTACGGGGGAGCAGCCGGCACGGGACATTACTACCAGGATTGGTTCTTCGACGACCTGTGGACACTGGAGTGGGACAGTGCCGAAGCGTTGCTCTCTGGTAAAATGACTTGGACACGGCTGACTCCGAGCTCCGAGACTGTCAGACCACCGCCATTGTTCGGCCAAACTCTCATGTGGTGCAATGGCAGTGAACTGGCCATGATGTGGGGCATGATGCCAAACAAGTCAGCACCGGCTAACGCCACAGCCACACAGACACTGTGGAGGATTAACTTGAACACGATGACTTGGAGAAAGCCAACGGGATTGTACCAAAAAGCGCGTGCCTTCTTTGCTACGGTGTCAGTGGGCTGTGGTGGCTGGTTATCTGCTGGACTTGCAGGGTTTGGAGGTCAATCGGAACTGCTGAGTGATTTCTCAGAAGCAGGTGCTCTGCCTTGATTAGCAGAACTGAGCTACAGAAGTCATGCAGTGCTGTGGAATGGCAAGTTCTGATCATACACAATAAAATGGACCACTGGCACCATGAGTGTACTACCACTAATTCACCCGATGATTGAGCAATGTCACAAGTTCCACAAGCTGGAGTGTTTCACCGTCCGAAGCCTGTTGAGTTGAAGTTCTTTGCTGAAAAATACACTAAGAAAGTTTCCATCAAAAGTTTTAAAAAAACATAAGTCTTAGTTGTAGTGAATTAGTAATAATGCTGCAGTAAAGGGGAGAGAAGGAATATACCGGATCCGTATTGACCCGATAGGAATGAGTGCATTGACTCATCATGCGGCATGATTTGTGTTGCTGCGGCCGCAAGGTCACGAGAATTTGGTCATCAGATGCCATTCACTTTGCTTCTCTTTGCGTGCCGGGCTTGCATTCGGCCCGGGCTGACCATGTTCCCAAGCAGTTTCTGGTCTGGTGGAGTTCGCTACTTGAGCAAAAGAACTATATCGCTTGATGTTTTGCAGTAAAACCATGTTTTGCTGTACGGTCATATTGTTGTTGGAAGCAAGGTTCGTAGACTTACCTCTTTCTGAGGCATGCTGTGAACTGAGCCTCGTGTGGGATTTTGAGAGAGTTCACTGCAGCATTTTGGTAGCGAAGCCAGTTCATGCGGCTGCTTCTTTGCAGCTGGTGGAGTTTCATTGTTTCAGTAGTACCGGTAATAATTATTATGAAGATGGCAATGCGGCATGTGATTGTCCATGTACATATGTGGGGAAGCTGCTTGGAAGGGTCCAATGACTCCTCTAGACTACAGTGCGTTTTTTTAAAACAGACATTTGTCGATTTTGATTTTTTAGTTTGTTCTCATTCCAAATTTGAAATTTTTTCTTCTCAGCTACGTTTGTGTGGGTCTTGGATCGAAGAAAATTAAGTTTGAGAATCGGAATAATAATAATTGTCAAAGTTAGATATTCGGACGGGTTTTGGCTGAAAATCCGGTTTTAAATGGTTTTCAGTGGATTTTGATTTTAAAACGAAAGTTTTAGCCAGGAAAGCTCATCACGTGCATGGTGTCCGCCAGAGCTCGAATCCAGTACAGACGTCATCTTGATTCTTTTTTTCTCTTCTTTTTCGGTACCGCGCATGCATGTACATGTACATGACTGTGCAGTTGTGCACTGCTGTCTGCAGTTCTCCTAACCTTTGTAGGAAACCAGTGAGTCGTGGCTTTTCACGACTTACTGTGGCAAACTGTACTGAATAATTCAAATGCTGTATTGCAATTAGCTCAATAAATCAAAACATTCCAGCATGCATGTAGGAAACTTCAAACTTCCCTCGATCCCTGAAAGAATGCAGTGAAAATTCAAACACCACAACAAATCACAAGGGCAATTCACATAGCACCCATAAAGAGACTAAAAGGAAGCAATACATGAGCGGTTTTACAAACACACAAACACACAATGCAAATAGATCACAGTTGTGTCTGGTTCAACATCTGCGAATAGTAGAAGACCAGCGAGCGTCGAAACGGCCCCAATAATTCCGTGTTTTGTGTTGCACTTGTGACGACAGTATTACACAGTGAACAGATGTGCTAGGACAGCCGATGACGTATATCATCGTTGGCGTTGGCCTCGTCGGTCTCCAGTCACGAACACATCGGCGGTCGGTCTCCAGTCACGAACACATCGGCGCAGTTTTTCACGAATCCGTCCCGTCCACCAGTATGCAGAACAATAAAGCGCTTGCCTTTACCTGATGGTGCTTCATTTGGTTGCTTGCCTATACACTCCTGTCACCATTTTTGGACCACCTCCTAGTAACTGTGTGACGTGCATTGACCCACGTGTCATCCAGGTATGTCTCACAGGTAGCGATGACGCCATGACACAATCCCGTGCCGTTCCATCATCATGTGTGTGATACCTCTGGTCTTGCCACACTGCAATCCCATGGAACGCAACATTTTCCAAGAGCTAGTTTTGCTCATGTCTGGAAAATCGTCGATGCTTTCTATGCAGCGAGCAGGAACTTTGTCCAGTGTTGGGTGCTCCTTCGCAGCATAGAATCCGTAAATTACTTCTTATACAGTCCAAAGCAAATCCGTCAGGGTTGAGTGGTTTTATGGCACGAGTCTCACATTGGGGATTGTCACTCTCGTTACCTTCATCACTGGAGACAGACAAGGCCAACGCAGCACGCTGATTTTCGCCGTCAGCATCCCTGGTACATCTGGTCTTGGTGGAAATGCTGACGCCACACGCAACAGCAGCATGACGAATGGAATACTTGGGACCAATTCGATGCCCAGCCATTGTTCTCCTCGTCTTCGCAAAAATTGTAAAACAGACACCACCATGTAGATTCTACCATGGCCCGTTCGCGCTTTGTTATAATTATGTTGCATGTCGAGAGAACAAGTTGCCACGAACGAAAAGACACTCGAGAAAAAGCAAAATAGGGCCACAGTCAGTCAGCAACAAAATGATTCCTCCAGCCACGAGGAGCTCGAAGGACACTCTGAGTCTGAAAATGGCGAAATGCCACGAGTCACACCTGGTTTTCGAATTTCGCGCGCAGATTTTCGTGACGCAACTCGCATGACATTTTCTCAAAAGTGGCCTTGAGTACGTTCTCAAGGATTTCAGAGTCTATTATAAAAAAACGCACTGTAGAGTCGAACAAGTAGTTGACCAAAATCGCCAGAGACATGCATGCAGAGGACAGCAACATTTGACTCAGGTAAAATAGCCGCTAGCGCTACATGTCCATGATGACGTCGTGCCCTTGCCACGTGCACGTGCCATGTGCAACACGTGCAAGGGCAAGCCAAGACTAGACTGTAAAAAGTGTAAAAGCTAGCTTGGCACCATGGCCAGGGCTAGCTGTTCAAAAAAGCAAACCTCTTCGAGCTTCGATGACGAGATGATTGATGAGTCAATCAGCATTGGTTTTATTTAGAATTATTTGCTCATCGGAGTCAAACTGGTGTCACAGTGGTTTGTCATTAACACCCAGGCCGCCCAAAGATGGACTAGATTCCACCGTGAAGCTCGTCCACGCTTTCTCTAAACCAAACCCGGTGCATGGTGGACGGGAAGCACACCATTCCTCATTGCTTTCCTTGCTGCCAAAGCAAGAACTACAGAATTACTTGGGCTGAGTCCAGTGGTTCTCTTTTTTTCACTGCCTGTACTCGAGGCTGCTTGCAAAAATGTGTGACAATTTCTCTGCACAAGCATGGAGGAAGCAGGTATGCCAGAATTGCTTCGAGCCGCGGGATGCCCACCGCATCGTGGAAACGGAGGAGAAGAAACAGGACAAGCCCCCACCGCCTCCGAAAGTTTTCAATAGGGCTTCCTTGAATCGCAGGCCAGGTGAGGCAATGAGAAAGAGTACAAGTCATGTATGTATCTGTAAGCCCTGTGACACAACTCATGCTGTAAACAGGGGAGTAGCTGTTCCCCCTTTTAGGGGGGGGGGGGGGGGGAGGGGGGGATAGGCACTGCCGCATACATGGTATTATATAACCCAATACTAGTTCAATACTAGTATTAGATAAACCTTGTTATAGTTCACACATGTTGTTAGTTTGACAGCATGAAACAAGGTGGAGGACACTGTGTTCGGAAACAGTGACCAGGCGCGTGCCCCGTATGGGTTCCTGGGTGCCCGGAACCCCCCTTTTTTCGCTCAAAATGCAGGATTCTGCTTCATTTTTTGAAATTTTTTCCCGGGGGAGGCCCCCCGGAATTCCCCTTGAAGGGCACCGGCGCACGCGCCTGGTGACCTTACTACAACCATCCACGGTTGGCAGAGACCGGGTTCAACACCCATCTGGGTCAAAAAAATGGTCCCAACGGACCGCGGCTCTGCCAACCGTGGATGGTTGTAGTAAGGTCACTGTTTCCGAACACAGTGTCCTCCACCTTGTTTCATGCTGTCAAACCAACAACATGCCGCATACATGTATACTGTATGTCTACAAATTTTCGCCCCATTCAAATTTCGGCCTCCCAGGACTAAAACCCATTTCGGCTGCATCAAATTATTTTCGGCCTGTACTGCTGCCGCCCGTATACACTGTCACACTGAACCTTGCAGAAACAAAATTTCGGCCGCAACGAATTGTCAGCCAAACATAACCAGGCCGAAAATAGCCGGAAATAAATATGCGCCGAATATTTCTTGACTCACGGTACACTGTATGTAGGATGGCTGGTGCATGTCATTCACGCTCATTATGTGCCTGCTGAACCAAGGTCGAAACTTTTAAGGGGTACCCCCCCCCCCTCCCATGCCCTATGCGGGCTACATGCCTGTTTCAATTGTATTTCGTAGTCGTTTTAATTTCGGTAGGCTCCCGCTTCTTACGAAACGAGAGAGCTTGGAAGCTCAGGGCCCTACGCTATGCTTTGTTACTTAGCTCATCGTGCATGTTGTGGGAACTGATGGAAATGTTTCCTGGGAAGGCGCTGACTCTGCCGAGCACGCGCGTTCTGGAGTCGACGGGATCACTCTGCCGACGTTTCCTGTGACCGCCGCTGACTCGCCCGTTCACGCCTATTTTGGAGACGACGGGATCTCTCTTCCAAAGTATGTTTTTGCTGACGCATCCTATCACCTATTCGGCAACTAACATCCATTCTAATTTCATTTCCTCCTCGTCTCTCTATTTCTTTCCAGAAAGTCTCTCTATACATCAGGGAGTCGTACTGTATTGGCAGCTACCCTAACGGGTCACGCCGCCCACCACCCAAGCATGGGTATGATGAGGGACAGTGGCAACAGAAACAAAAAAAACAGCAAGCAGGGAGAGAAAGCAAGAGAAAGACGGCGATAGTAGTACATCTGGTGTGCGACGTATAGAAAAGAGAGATGACAAGAGATGCGCACAAAATAGGAAACAATAATTATTTTTGCAGTTCCGAAACAATCAACCAGGTGATGGAGTGTGGGCACCCGAAGTCCCACCTGGACTCCACTGGAAGAACATCCCACGCAGGGATATCAGCGATAGGCCAAGCGTTGAAAAACAGCCATGAGGACACATCGTCTAGAAGTCCACCGCGCTCGAACTGAAATTGCAGGTTCAAACAATTTCCCACGCGGCGTGGTTATCACTTCATTGCGCTATTTCTCTTCGCTTATTTAACAGTTTTCCACGTTCGCCCTTTCAAACACAAGAACATTTTACATCGAATCAAAAAATTTTCTCGATCACCAACAGAGTAAAACGAAGGTCTATAGGGTGAGTTTCAAGTCTTCCAAGACTTGTCCTGTCCGGATGAATTTTGTGGCTGCACTACGCTGCGAGTTTGGCACGACCGCATCCATGGCGGCTGAGACTGCGACCGCTGTTGTTGCATCTTCGGGCCCCAGCTGCATTGCGCCGCGTAGCGCTGTGATGACGTGGCTAGGCGGTGCCTCAAACATGGTATCTGGCGAGGTAACCTGCGTCCACTCCCACTCGTGCACGCAGTAGACAAGCGGCTCGATGTTGGGATGGCTTCGGAAAACTCTATTCCAATCCTGAACCTTCTCGTATGTCATAAAAAAGCACATACTAAATCTCTGACTCTCTTTAGCATGATGGTATGCGAGCTCGACTGCCAAATTTGCATGTTCCTCTGCAACATCTTCTTGCCCTTTGAACGCGTCGGAGGCGTTTGCCTCCTGCTCGCCGTACTTTCGGCCAAGCCACATTTCCGCCACAAGACCTGTGACCAACCTGGCCAGTTCCTCGCGTAGACGATATTCAGCAGACCTCTCTGGATCGTCATCAGCAATAGGCAGGATTTCCGCGAATCCGAAGTCTGCGAACTTCACGACACCTTCCATGGAATGCATCATGAAGTTGGGAAAGTGCAGGTCGCGGTGCACCACCCCCTTCAACTGGAGGTATGCCAAACCGGATAACAGCTGCCTCGTGATCTCTATGCGCACGACCTGCGGTAGGTCTAGGCCGTTCTCGAGGAACCATTCTTCCAGGCTGCATGTGCCGCAGGGCATCACAATGCACCTGGGTCCGGGCATGAGTGACAGGTCCCGCGTCACCACATCGAGCAGCGGCATAATATTGGGATGCGCCGCGCCCAGTCCGCTGTTGAGGTGCTGCATAACTTCTATCTCCTTCTTGCTCTCATTGGGATCTTCGTTGAGGTAGCATTTCACCGCTAATTCAACAACGCTGGGGCCGCTGCCCGTTGCTAGGAAGACCTCTGCGTCTTCACCCATTCCCATGCACTCGTCTGTTAGCAGGTACCTCTCCTGTGTGATAGTGCTGTAGAGGATTGTGGCCTTGGGCACGGAGGCCTTTGCGGACGGGCTGAGCTGGGACATTATGCTTTACCAGTCACGTGACCTTCTCGTCTTCAACTTTAGCAAAGTAGAAAAATTCAGGTAAGCTGCAGATGTGAAAAGACCGTCACAGGAGAACTGACAGTTATCCGAAACAGTGGGCATCCTTTTGATGGGTTCCGTTCAAGCCGTGTTCCTACCGCACTCCACGACTAGTCTACTGTACTCTAGGTAGTGACTACGGGACGTGCCATGTGCATACAATGTACGCGAAATCCAAGTACATCTTCTTACGAACGAGAGAGCTTGGAAGCTCAGGGCCCTACGCTATGCTTTTTTGCCTTGATGACCTAGACAAAAAAAAGCATAGGGATGTTATAAATTCTTTAAAAAATTCCTTTTTTTAAGACATAACCTGGGATTCGAACCCGCACTATCGCGCCCTGCATGCATCCCCCGATACACTTCGCATACATACTAATTCTTCCAAGTTGCTTCACATTATGATCTTGCATTTGAAAGCCCTATTTGAATATGCATTGTGGCCAGCCGTCTTTGATGGTACGGTACGGTAGGGATAGGTACGGGACAGGTACGATCGAGGGTAATACGACACCGTCTCCTGTACCGTACCATCAAACACAGCTGGCCACATACAGCTGCCCGCAATATTCGAATAGGGCTTTCAAACGCAAGATCATAACGTGAAGCAACTTGGAAGAATGGGTATGAATGCGAAGTGTATGGGGGAATGCATGTAGGGCGATAGTGCGGGTTCGAATCCCAGGATATGCCTGAAAAAAAAATAGGAGAATTGAAAAATGTATAACATCCTATGCTTTTTTGCCGTCAGATACGGATAGCGCCAGGCGTGACACAAACAAACAAACACACAACACACAAATACCAAATTAAAGCTGTGTGGACCCTGGCTAGCGCCAGACGTTACTGAAGTAACGTCTTCTGCATAGCTACGGGAATTAAAACTCTAAATAACATGTGTCACAGTACTGTACGCATCTACATGTAGTGTGTGTGTGTATGTGTGTGTGTGTGTGTGTGTGTGTGTGTGTGTGTGTGTGTATGTGTGTGTGTATGTGTGTGTCTGTGTGTGTGTGTGTCTGTGAGTGTGTGTGTCTGTGTGTGTGTGTCTGTATCTGTGTGTGGATGTGAACAGAACATCCAGCAGATGCCCGACGGTTGCGTGGAGCAGCGCCGATTGAACACCACGCGGCTGATGTAGTCGGGGCCCGGGCAGCAGAAGCAGCAGCGGCGGACGAATTCGGGCAAGCGTATGCCCCACCTGGAGAGGCCACAGCAGCAGCAGCGGCACCTGTGCATGGTTTCGTTCATGAGGAGGTCCCTGCTGCCAACGCTCCTGCTGCTAATGATGATGATGATGATGTTGCTGCTGCTGCTGCAGTCGATCCTAACGGGTTGGGGGCGGCACCAGTGCAACACGGCCATGCAGGATTTGTAGCTGCTGGCCACCATCACGAAGAGAATCATGCTGCTGATGATGATGACGATGATGACATTCCCAACGAGGTACACGCCTTCATACCTGCACCTCCTCCACTTCCAGTTGTGCATGCACCTCCTCTACTTCCAATGGATTTATTCGGTCATCATGGTGCTGGTTATGCCGCCGGTGTCAACCCGGTGGTCAATGGTGATGACGAAGCAGAAAGTAGCGATGATGAGGAAGGTGGGGCGGCAATGGCTATGGCGGCCGCTGCAGCTCCGGTTGATGCTGCGAATGCCGAGGGTGCAGCCGCTAGACCTGGTAAGTGTGTACGTGTGTGTGTGTGTACGTGTGTGCGTGTGTGTGTGTACGTGTGTGTGTACGTGTACTTGTGTGTGTGTGTGTGTGTGTGTGTGTGTGTGTGTGTGTGTGTGTGTGTGTGTGTGTGTGTGTGTGTGTGTGTGTGTGTGTGTGTGTGTGTGTGCAAGTATGTGTGTGTGTGTGTGTGTGCAAGTGTGTGTGCAAGTGTGTTTGGTACATGGTGTGTGTGCTCGTGCGTGTGTGCCCGCGCGTGCGTGTGTGCCCGTGCGTGCACACGTGTGCATGCATATTGCATGTAGGGGTATAGCTGGGATATCCTTGGCACCAGATCAGTGGCGACCAGTGGTGACCAGTGGTGACCAGTGGTGACCAGTGGTGACCAGTGGTGACCAGTGGTGACCTGGCATTTTCTTACCATCCGGATGATCACACCGTAATATTGCAACGTCAACCAATGTTGTCACATTTCAAATTACCAACATGGAACAATGGTATGCCATCGTACAAGTATGTCTGCTTTAAAGTGGAGCTAGCATGGATCAGTTCACGTATGTTTCCCATCGTATGTCACACTTTATGTTGCTCAGTTTAATTGTCGGCATGGCTTTGTCCGGGGTAAATAGCCAAGTCACTATTACTGGAAAACCATAAATTATGGACTCTTGGTCGTACCATTGTTACGTACGTGAGGGTTTTTTTTTTGTTGACATTTCAACACAGTCATTGGTTGTTTTGTTTGCACAGTGGCTTTCAGCAATGTACTTCTCACTTCCTTGGCACTGTTCAATGTACAATTTTGGTATCAGTATAAGCTCATGCCCGCGTATAAGCTCATGTTCTTGTATAAGCCCACCGAAATGTCCTTGTGAAACAGATAAGCCCACGGGCTTATCCGCGGGATTCTACGGTATTGCATAGCCAATATTTCGGCCCTGGACCGCCATCAGAATTGATCCTTGTGCAGCCTATTCTCCAGTGCGGGATAGACTGCGGAAAATACGGCATGAGGAACTTGTTGTACATCCCAGCTACAGTTGTCAAAGCAGAACAACGGATGGAAGCCCCATGCATCCCGAACCTGATTAGCTGGCGCTGTATCTTGGTGACAAGCGCTGAAAGGCCCGAATGCTTGGTCGTAAAATTCCGCCACTGGTGAGTCCACTGCGGCTCAAAAATCGGAGTTGCACACTCTTGGATATGTACTTACCAGTAGGCTTGTATGTTATGCTGCCAATGCCCTGTTCGAGAAAGTTTCTGTATTTTCTTCTTCTTTTAAATGTCCAGGAGTTGTCGCTCCTCTAATGGAGTCCATCCGCGGTGGCGTTAAGCTCCGTCAGGTGCCGCAGGAGGAGCTCGAAAAACGTCGGAAACGCACCGAAAAGCCGTCGGTGATGAGTGAAATGACCAAGCGCCTGCAGGGAAAGCAGAAGGCAGCGGTACGGAGCAGCAAGGGGGCAGTTTGGGGTTGATTGTGATCCGGGAGTAGTAAAATACTGGTATTTTGCTACTCCCCGATTGCGACGTACATGTACATGATTGTACTTGTGTGCTGCCAGTGTTTGCTTCAGCACCTCCCTCGCAGTTCAGATATGCTTCTGCGAATCTACCAGTGATTGGTTGCAATTTTGCTGATGCTAATGATGAACTAATGAAATAAAAGATGTAAGCAAGAATTCAGACACGTTTTTCGTCATCATTAGTTCATCATGGTATTATGTCGGCATCAATTGTTTTGTTCATAGCTTTGTTGAAACTCCGTTCTCCGAAACGGCTTTTTTTTTTTTTTTGTTGCCGTGCGTAGGTGGACAAGGCCAAAGCGATTGTTGACCTGGAGCAGAGTACGATAGAGGAGATCGTGGTGGAGCTGAACTCTCTGCTTCAGGACCACCCCGTGCCGCTGGCTCATCTGAAGTCGCTGTGCCATTCGGCGAACAGGCTGCGCGACTCTGTGTCCAAAGCGGTGGGTGATTGCATACCTAGACTCCGTGTCCAAAGCGGTGGGTGATTGCATACCTAGACTCCGTGTCCAAAGCGGTGGGTGATTGCATACCTAGACTCCGTGTCAAAGCGGTGGGTGATTGCATACCTATACTCCGTGTCCAAAGCGGTGGGTGATTGCATACCTAGGTGCATTGTGGCTTACAGTACGGCACTGTCGGGCGCACAAGAACGGAGCGCCGAGGAACGGGCAGGCTGGAATATCACCGCACAAAGCATACCGTTATATACTCTGTGACTGCATTGCGCATAGACTGCTGTGCATGCACATACTTGGTCCGTTTCATCGCAATTGTCGCTTATCTATCGCAACTAAGAACAGGAGTTTTTTTACCGCTCTGTAAAATTTCCAATACGCATAGTGAAGAAGCATGATACAGGATTTCTGTCCGCCACAAGAAATAAATTCAGCGATGGAATCTGATGAAGCAAATCGAAGAAAGGAAGCAAAGTTACAAAAAATGTACAAAAGAAAACAGCGACGGAGCGCCTTTTTTGAAGTTCTTGCACTCACGCTTTAGTTTATCCGACTCTGGCTCTGTATCACTCGAGCTGATGCCACTTGAGCTGACATTCACTGGTGTGTAGAGTACGGTATCTCTTTCTTTCTCCGCTTGGCGTATCAGCGATGGGAAAGGAACAGTCGCGGCTGTCACTTTGGCACTTGGAGGAACGTGGGCAGCGTGACCCGTCTGTCACTACAGTACTGTGTGTTCAAAAATGTTTTTGAATCAGGCACACATCCCTCACCAGACAGCTGTCATACGCTCTGCTGGATACGCTGACCACGACTCTTGTACTGCCGCTGCCAGGTCGGACAATGTCTTCTTTGCCACCATCTCGCCATCAGTTTGCAGGCTTGCAAAGAATACCAGGTCATTGCAGTTCAAACATTGCAGTTCAAACAACTCAGCTGGCTGGCCTGGCCGTGACTGTCACGCTCTCCAGGTCAGGATGTCGATTTCCCCTGCTACAGTTCCGGTCTTTGAGCTGCGCTTGGCTTTTCGCTGCAGTGAATGTGTGCATTCACTGCAGTGCATTCACTGCAGCGAAAAGTTTTCTACTTTCCCATCAAAATTGTATGAATCGCGATGCCACTGGCGCTAGTCGCGATGGTTTTTTTCTTTCTGGTCTCCTTTGATCTTGCCATCACAACCTCCCAAACGAATGTGAGTAAGATATCGAGATCGGACAGGGTTTTACCTGTCAAAAGGTGCGTGGGAGATAAGCGACAATTGCGATGAAACGGACCAAGTAAGAACAATCTAGGCTACGAGGCTAACCCTCCAGCACTTCAGCACCCGACAGTGCTGTAGTCACAAGCAAAGAGAACACTTCACTTCCAAAATAGTGCACATCAGCATACAGATAGGCGTGTTATCCCTATGAATATTTGTACATGTACTGATTTAGTGATATCATGCGTAGAGGGTGTACCGGTATGTCTGATGAGTCTTCGGGTCAACATGTTTTTGCCTGCATGAAAATGGACACTGTGGTCGCCCGCTTTTAACGTTATTAAATTTTAATACTTTTCTTTCCTGCTGCTGCTGCTGCTGCTTCTGCTGCTGCGGCTGCTGCTGCTGCTGCTGCTGCTGCTGCTGCTGTTGTTGTTGTTCTTGTTGTTGTTGGTGGTGGTGCTGCTGCTGTTGCTGCTGTGACCACTACACTCTACCTTGCCTTGTCTTGTCTTGTAGAGTAAGCTAACGCAGACTGACACACTGCTGCAGCAGCGCTACAGCTGGCCGTCATCCATTGTGAGTCTCGAGCACTGCTGTGTCACCATGTGCAGCTCCGTTGATAATCACTTTGACTGTGTTGCTGCTCACAAATCAGCGGCGAATGATGAGCAAGTGATCAAGAACAGAATGTTCCCAACTCACCCCCCCCCCCCCCCCCCCCTCCCTACACCTGTTAACTCCCAAACAGTATGTTTGACTGTATAACACGCTCTTTCTGTGTAAATTTCGGTAGTTTGGGTAGAGAAACCAGGCACCTATAGTTAGATTACAGGTAAAAGGCACTACAGAGTATGCACTGTGTGTGAAGGGAAACACTGGTCACCTAAATTGAAGTGCCTGACACCGAGATTGTTGGGTTCGCACCGCTGCCACCATGTTGTGTTCGCCTGGAGCCACGCAGGAGTCCATTGTGGGACAAGACAAAAGACTCATTTATTTACCACGAGCATGCATAATTATGGATGAGAGAGAGACAATACGGAGAGGGACAATACGGCGACAGACACTATACACAACAGAGATTATACTTGTAATACACCTAAATTGACATGGTATGCAGTAATCAAGTAACGTGCTCCACTGTCCAAAGAGTGCTCAATAATAAGAGTCAATAGACTCAATACCCATAAAAGGCAGAGCCTTGTTACTTAGTTGTACACAAGAGAGAGATTGGAAGCTGTGTCGCAACTCTGAGTTTCACGTATTACTACGATCATCATGCAACTGATGGCTCCGAAACGGGCCGCCTGAAGATAAGGGGGAGCAAGGTGAGAAATACTGAGTGCATAGTATGCAGTAATACGATTACCTCCTTGAATACATGAAAGTTGGTGTCCAGGTTAGTGAGCAGGAAGTCCGCCTTAGGTGATACTCTATGATCTCTCTGCCAATGCTGTTCTGTGTGTGTGTGTGGGGGTGGGTGGGTGGGTGCGTGCGTGCGTGTGTATGTGTACGTGCGTGTGCGTGTGTGTCCGTTCCATGCAACAGCATCAGACACTAGAGTCGGTTGTGAGGATGGTGGAGCTAGTGGAGAGGGCCATAGGGCAGGTGAATGAAGTCGCCACGCGAACAAGAGTAAGTATGCCAGCAGGCTGCTATGATTGTTGTTGACCTTGTGGCATTGCATCACCTGCAGTCAACCTGCTGTGATGGCTGTGCTAGTGTGACATTGCACCATCTGCAGCTGCACTGAAAGGAGGCAAATCACCTCGCTTAGCAGACACAGACCCATATACCGAACCCCAGTTATCCGAACACCCGTTATGCCAAAGTAGAAGTTGCCGCATTTCTACATAAAACTGTATATGTGTGGCTTGTCGACTTTCGATTGCTTGTATACTAGTACTTCGTGGTGTAACGATTGGGTGCTTTGACTCGTCTCCGAGCCATGCTTGACACTACACAACTACTTGGTAGTGCTTCAGCAAGTATGAACTATTAGTTATATTGTGGTGGCTCACCATCTGAGTTATTTATGACTTTAAACTCCAAGTACCTTTGCATGACTTTAACTACCTCTGCAATTTTGCATGTTGTGTGGGTGTTATAGGAAGCTGGAGTGGACACCGATCAGCTACCAGTAATCAACGCTGGCACTGCACAGTCGGCACTGAACCAACTAACCACCAATGTGCTACTGCTGGGCAGGGAAGGCCAACAAGAGGTACTGTCAGAGTTGAATCCCTAACGGGGCACAACTTGTAGTGTTTTAACGAGAAAAATCCGTCGTTAGCTCAAAGAAACTTCACTTTGTTGCAGTGTGCTATTCCGTCGCTCCTCTATAAGGACAAGAAATAGGGGAAGGAAGATGAAGAAAGGCAAGAACCTCAATCTAAACTCCAATATCGAAGCAATAATAAATCAATTTTGCACCAGGCATTCTACAAGTGATAGGGACGTTGAGATCGATCAAAGATTATTACTTTGAAGTATTACTATTGTAGGTGCATGTTCATGTAGGACTGCACCAGCAGGATGCTATGTACACAGCTGTGCTCATGCTGATCAGCTGCTCAGATGAGGAGACGGTTTTAAGTGCCTGACACTGACATCAGTTCTTCAAGCCACGTTGTAGATCTCGTACTTGGTTCTCAGCTTCCTGTGTACATTGTATACTGTGAGTATGTCTTGTTGTTCTGCGGCGTGTGCTGTTGCAGTCGTTTCACGCAGTGCATGCTTCGCAGGCCGACGTGTCGCTGCTACTGGAATCAGCGTCGGCACCATGCCTGTTCATCCTGGACTGTCTCTTCCAGAAGGCACTGCAGGCTGCACGGGTGAGCAATGCGTCCCACACACTACAGTACAGTCAACGCCGTGTTATTGTTTTTGTGTTTGTCCAGCGAGCACCCGGCTATACACAGAACACTGGTATTTAAAGACTCTTTATAGATACCGTATTTATAGATACGTATTTTATAGATACAACAATAGAAGTATTTCTTGCGTCGGCAAAAAAGTGCTCAATGTCCTAAGACAGAGCGGGGTTATACACTCAGACACAAAGGATCTCCAAGTTTCTCAGTGTTGCTACTCTGAGTTTCGTGCAAAAGCACTCAGCCTGAAGAGTGCTTTTGCACGAAACTCAGAGTAGCAACACTGAGAAACTTGGAGATCCTTTGTGTCTGAGTGTATTTTATAGATACCGTATTTCATCGGTTATAACTTATAAGCTGACTCCCGTACATGTGCCCAGGCCCTCGATTTCCCGGTTCAAGGGCACTTAGACCGCCAGTTGTACGTCGACTGCCCCTTTTGTCGGTGTCGGGCCTGTAAAATACTATAGGTTGAAACTGTAAACTGAGCTATGGTAAGGGTCTGTGATGAGCGGTCCCTGAAAACACTCGGTTTTGTGGTTGCTCATTGCACCGATTGCACAGCACACTCACAGGTGCTACTATGCATGCATGGTGCATGTACATGTACCACAGTGCTGGCAACTGAAATCCGACCCCCTGAGCGGTGCGCTCACATCGCAAAGACCCAACACGGGATGGTGAAACTACGAAACAGAGACCGCTAGAATGTGAACCCACCGCTCAGGGGGTCGGATTTCAGTTGCCAGCAATGTACTTGCATCGCTTGGTAAGTTGGTTGTACATGTACTGAAAGACATGTAAATATAACGAGGAAGTAAATCTAACGTTTATATAACGAGTGACATTTCTTCGTTAAAATAAGTTCTGTTGAGGCTGTAAAGCCCCATATGTCTTATGTGCGGATACCGGTATGCCTGAAGACTGCAAGATCGTTAACGTATCTTCTCGGTTAGCGTGTGAATTTGCAACTCGTTATAATAACATGTCTTACAGTACACAATCTCCGGACAGCTATCTGTCTCGACCCTCTTCAGTCTCATTGTACATATACCGTAACGGTACAGTTGATTCCGCCCCCTCTCTAATTTCCGCCCCCTCACGAATTTCTGCCTGTGAAGCGATTTTGGCGTATGCGATGAAGTACGGTGTTGAACCGACGCATGCACTGCTGTACACAGTACGTGCCAGTGCAGGATGAAAATGTGCACAATTCCATCGCACCGAGTCTGACCTTCCGCGTTTTTTGTACATCGTACTGCACCTGACGGCCTTGATCTTATTACCGCCCCCTGCCGAAAACCCTGCTGGGAAGCGACACGACGTGGGGGGGGATCAACGGTACTTTCCGATACATCTAGGTATGTTAGTTGACAATCACCATGGTCACCATGGCATGGGCCTACAGCTATCAAGTCATATGACTAATTTCAAGCAGCAGCCGTGATGGGCAGGTGAAACAGATAAGCAGAAAGAACAAAGCTGCAGATCTGCCCATTCACATTCCCCCCGCCCCGTGCATTGGCTGCTTTCCGTATGCTACGGATTTAGGCACAGTACTCGTACTAGCGCTCTGGGACACAGAATGCTCGGTGAAAACGAGAGAGCTTGGAAGCTCAGGGCCCTACGCTATGCTTTTATGCTTTTTTGCCTAGCTCATCGTACATTTTATAAGAACTGAGGCAAAAGTATTTGCAGAATTTATTGCGGATTGTTATTTCTCTAATAATCATCTACTTTTGGTTTGCTCCTTCTTTTCTTTTTATCTCCTTATACTGTAAATCAACAAATTTTGGCCGATGAGAAATAGAAACCTCTCTATTAGAGAGGTTAAGATGCACGTTATTTCCGACGTGACGCGCAATTTTACGTCAAATTTGAAATCGATAGGTATTTTGCTCTCACATGCATCCATTTCTCAATCATGCATCATTTGCCTATATGACAAACTTTGGCCTGTGATTTACTTTGGCCGGTTGGTACCAAGCGGCGAAATCAGCGAAATTAAATCGCCAGCGAAAATTAGTTGATTTTAATACAGTAATCGGATTTTCTGGCCTTTTTGTAGTAATACATGTACATTGACCTGTTGAGCCAATGACGACGCCGAATGCATGGTTGCCTGTGGAGCACATTACATAACTTAGCAGTCTCCTAAAATACGTATCCTGTCCGACGGCAAAAGAGTCTGCAGATTTAGTTTTTCTGCTCGTCGACGGGATGTCTGCGACGCGAAAGTTCAGCTCGCGTTATTTGGCTCGCACGTCGAAAAATCAACGCGAGTGACCTGCTGCTCACGTGGAAATTTGGACATTACATAACTTTACAGTCTCCTATAATACGTATCCTGTCCGACGGCAAAAGAGGCTGCAGATTTAGTTTTTCTGCGCGTCGACGGGATGTCTGTCCTGACGTTCACTGGGACCGGCGCTGACTCTGCCGATCACGGGCGTTCTGGACTCGACGGGATGTCTGTCCTGACGTTTCCTGGGACCGGCTTAGACTCTGCCGATCACGGGCGTTCTGGACTCAACGGGATGTCTGTCTTGACGTTGCCTGGGACCGGCGGACTCTGCCGATCACGGGGGTTCTGGAGTCGACGGGATCTCTCTTCCGACGTTTCCTGTGACCGGCGCTGAATCGCTCGTTCACGCTTATTTTGGAGACGACGGGATCTCTCTTCCAAAGTACATGTATGTTTATGCTGACGCTGTTTATGCTGACGCATCCTATCACCTATTCGGCGTCTATTCTAATTTAATTTCCTCCTCGTCTCCCTATTTCTTTCCAAATCTCCCTGTACATCAGGGAGTCGTATACATAATACGACGAATATTGGTACGGTACGGGACAGATACAGGAGCCCGCAAATATTGTGGACAGCTATTATGTACAATTCTGTAGAGCCTTTGTAGTACCAGATACGGGACAGATACGGGATAGCGCCAGGCGTGACACAAACAAACAAACAAACACACAAACAAACAAATACCAAATTAAAGCTGTGTGGACCCTGGCTAGCGCCAGACGTTACTGAAGTAACGTCTTCTGCATAGCTACGGGAATAAATTGCCTTTCTTTTGCCAGTATTCCAGCTGTGTACTAATAATGCAGTATAGTTATTCCCGTATACCCATTCTCACTTCCCTTCATGTGTTCAATCTACTGCACATGCATGTTGGCCTTGTACACACTCGCTTCACCTTGTTCACTCTAGAATGTCACTGCTGGTATTCTTATTTTAACTGATTTCCTTTAATTTGTTTGTTTATGGCTTTGCAGTCGTTGTCCGACATTGGCCTGTCTCGCTACGCGCTGACGTTCCGCGTGAATCATGCACACGACCTGCTCCAGTGAGTCCCAGCTCTCTCTCTCTCCTGCTCTCTCTCTCTCTCTCTCTCTCTCTCTCTCTCTCTCTCTCTCTCTCTCTCTCTCTCTCTCTCTCCTGCTCTCTCTCTCTTGTCTCTCTCTCTCTTGTCTCTCTCTCTCTCTCCTGCTCTCTCTCTCTTGTCTCTCTCTCTCTCTCCCTCTCTTGTCTCTCTCTCTCTCTCTCTCTCTCTCTCTCTCTCTCTCTCTCTCTCTCTCTCTCTCTCTCTCTCTCTCTCTCTCTCTCTCTCTCTCTCTCTCTCTCTCTCTCTCTCTCTCTCTCTCTCTCTCTCTCTCTCTCTCTCTCTCTCTCTCTCTCTCTCTCCTGCTCTCTCTCTCTTGTCTCTCTCTCTTGTCTCTCTCTCTCTCTCTCTCTCTCTCTCTCTCTCTCTCTCTCTCTCTCTCTCTCTCTCTCTCTCTCTCTCTCTCTCTCTCTCTCTCTCTCCTGCTCTCTCTCTCTCTTGTCTCTCTCTCTCTCCCTCTCTTGTCTCTCTCTCTCTCTCTCACTCTCTCACTCTTGCTTTCTTTCCCTCCCTCTCGTCTCCATCACTAGATCATGTTTCTACCAGGAAATGTACTACAATAGTTGATGGGACCATACACTATACAGAGTGGAGATGTACATGTGTACCTGACATCGCTATTACAGTACATCTGTGTATTCTTGTTGAATTAGGCATGGGGTAAGACATCGGCAAGCTCTATACATGCACTCGGGTGGCATAGATCTAGCAATTGGTTGGTTTCTCTTCAAACAGGCGCTCCAACTGTATCACCTCACCTGAGTTAGCCTCAACATGATGGAAGCATTTTCAAGTTTCTTTTGGCTGCTGCTGCTGCTGCTGCTGATGGTGATATGTGTGTGTGTATGTGTGTATATGTGTGTATGTGTGTGTATGTGCGCGCGCGCTCTTCAGGTTGGCTTGCAAACTGAACGATGATCTGATGCGCTGCCTGGCACTACCCAGGCATGCCATGTACTCGGTAAGTTGCAACACACAGCGGCTGATTTTCATGTGTAGCTTTGTGCTCGATGACATCCGACCTAAAGTGCATATTTTTGTCCTTACTTGCTTGCACGGCCCTCAACGCCCTGCAAGTGGTGCGGGTGCAGCTTGACGTACACATGTACTGTACAGGGATGGCATCGGAACTGGTCCAGGGCGTCAGTTTTGCACTTCGGGTCGAAGTTCAGTGAGCCCAACTGTAGCTGTCCTCTGCATGCACGTACCTATTGCTGTATGGCCATCCTATCCTGCTGCGTGTAACCTTGTCCTTATCCCAGGCCCGGAGGAACCGGTCCAGTTGGTCAGGCCACGGCCTGGCCAACATTTTGGCCACCAACGTGTGTGTTACTGCTGTGGAGGGCATGTGTCCCCACCGTACCATACACAAACTGTATGGCCGTACCAATCAGAGACTGCTTCCACCGGTCCTGTATCCTGATCCTTGTCCTTATCAGGACTGCCGGAAGTCACTTTTGATTGGTCCGATCATCCATAATCTTTCTTGAATTCTTTATTTTGTGTATGATATGGCGGGTAATCATGACCTCCTGAGCGTGAGCGCGCGTGTGTGTGCGTGCGCGTGTGTGTGTGTGTGTGTGTGTGTGTGTGTGTGCATGTGTGTACGTGCACGTGCACGTGTGGCGCACATGTGCGTGCACATACGTGTGCATGCATATGTCTGCCTATCATGTTTGTGCGTGCAGGAAGCACAATTGTCGTCAACTGAGATACAGGACAAGTATGCCGACATCACCACAGTGCATAAGAAAACGTCAGTACACCACACACTGCACTGCACTGCACTACGCTGCACTGCACTGCACTGCACTGCACTGCACTGCACTGCACTGCACTGCACTGCACTGCACTGCACTGCATGCACTACACTACACTACACTACACTACACTGCACTGTACTACACTGCACTGCACTGCACTGCATTGCACTGCACTACACTGCACTGCACTGCACTATGTTTATACCCAGGGAATACACAATGATTTATCCAATAGAGGTGTGACTATCATTGATAGAACACACTACCAATCCACAACCAACGGACACCAATTAGTTTTGACACAAACGTTCTTCTCCAGAATTCTTCGGTGACTGCTTCCGGTAGATGGTATGATATTCATTGGTCTATGCATTGACGTTCGACAATATGCGATCCGAATGAAAAAAAATTCTTTTCTTGACTACTATACAAATAATCTACGCGGAGATAATAATTTTAATATAGCTATGAATAGGATGAAGGCCGCAGACATCACGCAACTCAGTGTGACGTTACTTGTTCGATATGTATGTGTATTTTATAACAATAATATTATTGTAAAAGAGAAAAGGACATATGGATACGAGTTAAGAGTAACTCTCCATCACTGTAACATGATACTATATACAGTCAGAAAGTGCAATAACTAGGCACAAAACTGACAGAGTACTGAGACATTCGACGTCCTGACACCTAACTTCAACACATCTCCGTAGCGCTAACCGACAGCCTTCCAACTTGGAAGGTTCAAGGTTATGGAAAGACCAAAGAGGGGAAGGCAAGCGCAACGAAAACGAGCAAAAGCTACAGTCCCAACGGAACAAAGAATGTCGATCGTTACTGGACGATGACGAGACCAGTACGATATTTGACAAAGCGGTCTAACTACAATTCGAAGCAGCAAAACAGCACACGCTACGGAGATGTGTTGAAGTTAGGTGTCAGGACGTCGAATGTCTCAGTACTCTGTCAGTTTTGTGCCTAGTTATTGCACTTTCTGACTGTATATAGTATCATGTTACAGTGATGGAGAGTTACTCTTAACTCGTATCCATATGTCCTTTTCTCTTTTACATTTATTTATGGCTCAACATCCGAGTTTCAAATAATATTATTGAAACCCAGAATCGATTTTCTCTATAGAATAGAAAAAAAGACCAAGGCTTGGCTTTACCTTGGCTCTCCATTCGAGTCCATTCTTACATTATATAATCTCTATTGTTTCCACGTGAATTTGTGCAATTCTTGAGAACGCGAAAATTTGCACGCAGCGAAAGTTTCTAGCTTTACAGTACGCGATGTTCTTTCATTTGTGTGTGTTCTGCGTGTGTTCTGTGTGTGTTCCGTGTGTGTGCGTGTGCGCTCGGCAGGGGTGACTGGGACCAGAAGGAGAAAGTCGCGCTCCGCAGCTCGACAGCGGTAAGTGGTCTCTACAAACCTCGCGAGTCATGAAATGTGTACTAGTGAGTCATGAAATGTGTACTCGTGAGTCATGAAATGTGTACTCATGAGTCATAAAATGTGTACTAGTACTAGTACCTGACTTCTGTTTCACCCTGATAATGAGCCAGGCCCGAAAGTTTGGTGAACATTTTTAAAAAATTGATATGCAATAAAGCAAGAGTGTGTTGCTCCCTACATGGGAGCTTGCGGTTTTCCTGCCGACTTGAATTCTCACTTGACTGACTCACGACTGCCATCCAGAGCACACGAGAAGTCCATCGAACCGTCCACTCGGCAAACCTGCAAGAAAGCACCACTCCCTGCTCAATACACAGTGTTTCGGGGAATTCACCCCTCGTCAGTTGAGCTTGAGTAGGCTCAGGAAGATTGTGCCTGAAGAGCACCACTTACATAGTGCTCTCCAGGCACAAACCTCACCAGGGATACACACTGCTATCTGGTGTTCACAAGGTGTTTGTCGCGCTGGAAACGGAGCATCTCTGTAAGTTTGTATCCCTGGTGATGTTTGTGCCTGGAGAGCACTATGTAAGTGGTGCTCTTCAGGCACAATCTTCCTCAGCCTACTGAAGCTCAACTGATGAGGGGTGATTTCCCCGAAACGCTGTATATTGAGCAGGGAGTGGTGCTTTCTTGCAGGTTTGCCGAGTGGACGGTTGGATGGACTTCTCGTGTGCTCTGGATGGCAGTCGTGAGTCAGTCAAGTGAGAATTCAAGTCGGCAGGAAAACCGCGAGCTCCTATAGCAACAAACTCTTCCCCTACTATCGCCGAAATCGCACCAACCTCTTCTTCACATTGTATGCAGTAAAGAAACCATATTTGTCAAATTGAGTGTTTGAGTGCAGTGACCACAAATGTGTACCTGTAATATATAAGTACTACCAAGAGTATATAACCCCCTAAGAGTGTGCAACTCTGCATATGGGGTCTCCGACGGCGAAAACTCACATCACGTGTCTCAGGCAAGTTCGTACTACGTACAAACGGAGGATAGCGTGCGCGCAATCCGATTATCTGCCATGATCATGCTGGGGATTTGCATACCCGCAGTGAGTTTCTGTCAGAGAGTGCTATTTTTATTACTCCGCTGCTCGCTAAAAATGGGCTGGAAACGTACAACTGCGACACTGCACCACGTGATGTGAGTTTTCGCCGTCGGCGTACCCCATAGAAAGGGTATCAGGAGTTGCACACTCTTGGGGGGGGGGGGGGGGGGTTATATACTCTTGGTACTACACGTAGTATTTCCTGGTGTGTCTTTAGCTAATATAAATGGCGCGTCTTTCTGCTCATGTTGCTTGTGTCCTGCGTGTGCCCGTCTTCTTCCCGGCGTCCCTGATTCAGTCTGTGGCACCGCCTGTTCGCACACGCCTCTCGGCGAAGGAGGAGCTGCAGCGCAACGCGGTGGCGTGCGTCACGCAGAACCAGCACGACGGCCTCGTCGAGCTCCTGTCCGGCTGTCAGTCGCATCAGATCGAGGCACTGCACTCCTCTTTGATCCACGCCGCCGTGGCTAGCGGCAGTGAGGTGAGATGCGATGATTACGTTTATTCACGTCTACTCTACCTCATGTACAATGTACTAGTAATAAAAGCCATTACCGTATTATCTCTAATATAAGCACGGTCATTTCAACCTCATTTCAGAGGCATGTTGCCATGCCAAATTCATGTCAGATACACACATTTCAGGGGTTTTTCGCCGGTACAGATAATGAATTTACACAGTGTGCTTATAATGGAGACTGAGCACTTTATTTTTTGAATGCCGCCCCAAGGTGTTCTATTATTGGAGACGTGCTATTATTGGAGACTGTGCTTATATTAGAGATAATACGGTATTCTAACGAGGCGCATATATTATAACGATTTCCCAAATTTGACTGGTTTACGTTTACCAAAGGTAACGATTCTCACTCATTCTCAACGCTCAATAGGACAGTATATGTATCGATTTCTGTATAACGATTTCTATTTTAACGACAGATTTCTCCTCGTTAATTCGTTAGAGTTAGCACTTCGTTATATATATATAATATTATGGCTTTTACAGTACTCGTGTACTCAATCTACAAACAGAGCTGTTTCGTCCTTTGTGGACTCATCAGCGCAGCACCGAGAAAATGAGGCCGAACCGAGTTATACCAGCTTGAAGTTTGCACTAGAATTGGTGACATCATGATGACGTCATTAACTTGCCCAGACCAGGCCGGATTTATGACGTCAGAGAGATAGACTTTGTATGGGAGTAGATGGGGAAATTTCAGTATTTTGGCTGTCCATTGTTCCAAAGAAATCGGATTTTTTTCAAACTTCGGTAAGAGACATATGGCACCCTATCGGTATCCCGACTGGAAAAAATTCTAGCATGAAATCCATTGTTGCAGAGATACAAGAAAGAAATTGGTTTTCCCCCATTACTCCCATACAAAGTTTATCTTTCTGACGTCATAAATCCGGCCTGGTCTGGACTCTGGGCAAGTTTACGACGTCATCATGATGTCACCAAATTGTGTGCAAAGTTCAAGCTGTGATAACTCGGGAACGGCTGCTCCGATCAACCTGGGACCTTCACCATTGGAATCAGTGCATTTTTTGCTACCAGTTGTGAAGTTTTCATTTTAGGGTGAACTTCCCCTTTTTTAGGGTGAACTGCCCCTTTAACTCATGTCTCACAGTACTGTACTGTACTGCCAAATGAACACGATCTCCACCAGGATATCGCGCTCCTGTCAACTCGGCGCTCTTAATATGTCTAGCTGGCTGTGCTGCGTAATAGTGACGATCTCCTGGTGTATTGGCCAGGCCCACCGGTATTAATTATTCTACTTCTTTTGACGTACAGCAGAACTCGGATAAGGTGTACCCCCATGCATTGTGCAGTAGGAAATTGCACTTACAAGTATCCAAGGTACTTCTTAAAAGTTCTTATCCCCCAACTTACCTAAATATAGATCAATACAACCGCAGTCTCTAGGCAATGTCGGTACTACTATGTGTGAACTCATCAAAGAATATGGGAGGAAGAAGAAGAGCTTCAGTGTTTGCGTACTGTTTCTCCTACCTGTGTGTGGTTGAGATTTATTTGAACAACAATGTGTTTGGTTGTCCGTTGTTTCCCTGTCTTCAGACTGTGGTGTGGGTTGTCGAGAAGCTGCAGGAACTGGACAATGTTCAGGTGTCGGCCAGGCACTTTGAGTGGCTTCACGAAGCGTTGACCAAGGTATGAGCATATCCGTGTGTGTGCGCCTGTGTGTGTGCGTGCGTGTGTGTGTGTGTGTATGTGTCGTTGTAGGGGTTGTGTGCTCCTGTTCGCAACAGCACAGTGTGTGTTCAGAGCTGTAGTAAGGAGTATGCAGAAGTGCAATCAGCAGCTTAGCATGCACACAGCAAGAGCATTTCCCCTTGCAACCTGTCCTCTCGGGCAGTGAGCTATAATACCATTGTACTCGGGACATGCTGGCAGAATGGACAGTACTGAAGTAGTAGTATCGCGACTTCAGATGCGCATTGTACAAAATCAGGGTAGTTCTCAGATTCTGTTCTCTGGACGTCGTTCGTGGAGTAGAAGATGTTTGCGGCTCCACTTGTGTGTTTATATGTTCTCTCTTGTTTTTATACGTTCTCTTGTGTGTATATGCATGTTTAAAGTGTGGTGTGGAAGTTGTAGAGTGCCTTGTGAAATCCTGTGGAATGGATATCAATGTGCGCAGCCAGGATATCGGCAATACGTAAGCGTCTATCCATCGCGTGCGTGTGTGTGTGTGTGTGTGTGTGTGTGTGTGTGTGTGTGTGTGTGTGTGTGTGTGTGTGTGTGCATGCGTGAGTGCATGCGTGAGTGCATGCGTGAGTGCATGTGTGCATGCGTGATTGCTTACGTGTAGATGTGCACTGCAAATGAATTACTGGCACTATGTGATATGAACCTGACTGCCTCTATTGCTCTTAGTCGCAAAGACCAGTGATTATCTTTTTGACTTCTGTTACATCTGCATGGATCTGTGCCTTGACCCATAGAGTGTGGTGGCGTTCCTACGGATGCGGAACACGCAACCTCCAGCTGAGTCTCACGCGAGCCGTGAATTTCTTTCTGTCACTACTGTTTTACAGCTTGCTACATGTCGCGGCCCGTCGCCAAGACTTCCCGGCCATGGCAGCGTTGACGGAGCTGGGTGCTGACATTCTCCTGGTGAATACGGCATCACACACTCCGCTGATGATGGTGGCCATGAAGGTACGCTGACGCTATACTTATCTAGTTTCTCCCCTGAGTTACTGGTGTAGGGGATTTCCCCGTGTCCTGCCACAGTTACCACAAAGTCGTGTATAAAAGCGCGACTTATATGATTTTGGGGGAAATTTTTGCAGGCTTCTATATGAGACGGGCTTCTATACAAGACAGGTATTTCTATGTATGTCAACACTAAAACCAGGCTTATGTCCCGACAGTGTATCTAGAAAATCAGGCGTGTACATATGAGATCGTCTTTAATACAAGACACTACAGTATGTACAGTCAACTTTGCTTATAACGACACTCGGCGGGGCATTAGGAAAGTGTCCTTATTCGCGACGTGTCGTTAATCCCCAAAGTCTCATTATATGTATTACAGTTGGATGGGACTTTGCTCTGGGCATGGAAATCCTGTCGCTATTCGTGAATTGTCGTTATATCCGCAGTCGTTATTAGCGAAGTTGACTGTACTTGGCTAGTAACTACAGTTGCGCTCACTGAAATCCAACCCAAAATGCAAAACTGGCACACACACTGGAACAGTTCTGATTACATCATTGTATTTGTACATGTGTACGTCCAGCCGCATTCGTGCCACCCTCCAGGGCGTCAAGGGCCGTGCAAGTTGAGTGCGCCGCGTATGCACTCCTCTGGGTCGCATTTCACCTAGCACAACTGTAGTTCATGTCAGCCAAAGTCCTAGGCCGTGATCGTTTGGTCGGATCCAGATCCAGATCCATCGGATCCACTGGATCTGCAATGATCGATTGGTCGAATCCGGATCCAGATCCTTCGGATTTGGATCCGAGCAACCCTGCCCCGGGAGCAGGGTTGACTGGATCCATCGGATCCAAATGTGACCTTTGTGCGTATATGGTGGGTAAAAATCATTTTTATACTCATTGTCGTACGTCTAGTGGACTTTTGTTGACTTTTCGTACGACGCGGGCGATCAGTACGACTTATGCCTTTTTTGGGTGACCTGTCAGCGCCATTTTTTACTTCGTCAACATGGCAACAGCCAAGGTCCGCAAAAAAGTGTTCGGTTGATTCTGAAGGATCCGACGGATCTGAGATTTGGATCTGGATCTGGATCCGACCAAACGATCATAGCCCTACACTCTCTGTCATTTTTTTTATTTTTTTTATTGAAAACCACAAACCTTCAGACATGTGAATGTGAATGTGCACATATAAAGTTTAATACAGTGTGCATGCATATGTATAAAGAAGGCAGCACAGAAAAAACATTGAGCATGTTCTCCTGTGTTGATGTTTGTGTTTTCTGCTGTTTACTCCACCATTGCCGCCACCGCCGCTGCTACGGATTCTGTATTACTGAATGTGTGCAGAGCTTTCCCCCAGTGCCAGTGGTTCGGCCTAACCAAGACAACATTGACGGTACGCCCGAGTAGAGAGCATGCCTGTCTCATTTCTCTTTGGGGACTGTTGGAAACAAATATTTACGGCCAAGTATATCATGTCAAGCCCCCCCCCCCCCCCGAAATGAATGCAGTTTGCTATCGGATGACGCAAATCTCATGCATGTACATGAGCGTGTACAATGTACTGTGTAGGCCGACTCGTGATTTTGGCTCACCCCCCCCCCCCCCCCCCCCCCCCAAAGAACGATGTTCGTTTCAGGGACCACAAAAGAAACCTTTCCGACGACCCCGTATTGTCGAGGACTAGATTTCACTTACAATGACTCACCTGTACTAGGCCTGGCTGGCGGGTTCTTGCATCGTATGGCTTAGCTATCTTCTCTTCTATTCTCTTTTATAGCTCATATACATAATGATGACAATTATGTATAAACCATCTAGGATAGAATGGGTCCTTGCATTGTTTCAGATACGCGAAGGCACATACTTCATACAGCAGAATGGAATTGAAAAAAAAAGAAGGAAAAAGCTGCCCAGACCCCTCACTGACCGAGGATACCAATGCGAGGAGTAGTTTTCCGTATGGCCCGTGCCCACATTCTCTCTCTCTCTCTCTCTCTCTCTCTCTTTCTCTCTCTCTCTCTCTTTCTCTCTCTCTTTCTCTCTCTCTTTCTTTCCTCTCTCTCTCTCTCTCTCTCTCTCTCTCTCTCTCTCTCTCTCTCTCTCTCTCTCTCTCTCTCTCTCTCTCTCTCTCTCTCTCTCTCTCTCTCTCTCTCTCTCTCTCTCTCTCTCACTCACTCACTCACTCACTCACGCACTCTCTTGACATATCTTTGTGTGTATGTGCGTGTGTGCCTGGATTGCTGCAGATTGCTTTGGAGGCTATGTCAATAAGCCTAACCTCAGGTACATGTACTTACAGCATACACATGGTTTTGTTGCCCAACCCAGTACCCACTACTTCTCAGTTACTGAGTGAATTAAGAATCATCTATCAGAGTACTGTAAAAGCAGAAATTTTCGGTGGTGTAATATTTTCGGTATTCACCAAAATCGGCGGTTCGGTAGAGAGAAATTTTCGGTAAAACCCGTTTTCCAGGTAGGTGTACTAGTACTAAATGTATACAGTACCGGTTGTACCGAAATTTTCGGTGCGTTTTATTTTCGGTAGAAATTGTCGACACCGAAGTTACCGAAAATAAAACACCACCGAAAATTTCTGCTTTTACAGTAGTCCTCTTGACATGTTTTACTGTGCTTGTAGCAGGTATTCCCAGTGAGTCCCTCTGACATGTTTTGCTCTGCACATACCAGATATTCTGTGTGCCTGGATCCTTGGTCCTACTGGGTACTGGTGGTCGTGATGTGCAGCAAAGTCAGCCTGACTGCCTCTCACTTGAATCATGAAACTAGTTTTTTTCTCATTGGCAAGGACCGCTGCCAGATTCGGTCATGCATATTTCTTTCTTCGGTGTGAATGTTTGTGTTTGTGTGACCTTGCTGCTGTGTCTGTCTTCATTGCTGCTTGTCGGCCACTGCCTGTCAACGCAGTGATGTTGTGCTGGTATGCAAGGATGGTGACGGTGACGGCAGTGCTAGTCAGGAGAAGTGCTACGCTCACCGCATACTCCTGTGCGGCCGCAGTCCCGTCTTTCAGGCCATGCTCGACACCGAGCTGTGGATGGAGGCCAGCCAAAGAGAGGTAGGTGTGCATTGTGTGTGCGTTGTGTGTGCGTGTGTGTGCATGTGTGTGTGTATGTGTGCTATCGTTGGAGTGTCACGACGGCAGCAATGGGAGACCCACGTAACGTCCTCAGCCCTTGCAAAGACCCTAGGAGTGCCTGAGGACACTGGTCACATCATACGGGAACGACGTTTGCGCTGGCTTGGACATGTGGCACGGATGGAAGATCACCAGTTGCCAAAGTGTGTTCTCTTCGGTGAACTGCCTGCCCCGCGCCCGGCGCATGGTCCACGTAAGAGGTGGAGGGACGTCGTTATGGATGACTTTGCGTCGGTTGAGCCACCGGTACCAGCATGTGGATGGTACGATGCAGCCCAGAACCGTCCAGAGTGGCGTACCATTGCCCGTCGACCACCCAAGGCACCCTCTGCTGCTGGCTATGATTGCGCCTGCAGCCTGCATGTTCCGTCGAAGCGGCGACCTGAAACGCCATCAGTCATTCTGTCGTGGACTGGAGAAATAACAATGCGCTATCATTGCTATGCAATGGGCAACGTCTAGGTCAAGGTCAGTGTGTGTGTGTGTGTGTATACGCGTGTGGACGTGTACGTGTGTGTGTGTTGTTCTGTTGCTGATGCTTGTGCTGATACTATTGTTAGCTCGAGCACTGTGGCTACGAGGCTCCAATGGTATTTTCTGTGCTATACAGAGAAGTCACTGAGGAGGAAGCAGTTGTGTCTGCAGTTTAAGTAGAGGCTCTTGCTTAACTTACCCTGAGTGCCATGCAGGGTGTAGAGTGCCATGCCCTACACGCAGTTTTCATTATTTTTTAAAAGAGTTAACATACCACACTGTACCTGTATTTTGGTACTGTGATCTGTTGTTTGGCTGTTACTTCTGAAGTGCTTTGCAGTCTAGAAATGTACGGTGTACTCTGCCTTGTGTGTGTGTGTGTGTGTGTGTGTGTGTGTGTGTGTATGTGTATGTGTATGTGTGTGTACATGTGCGTGTGCTGTCGCCATGATTTCAGATCTCTTTGTCGGACATCCGTTATTCCGTCATGCTGCTAGTGTTACAGTACATCTACACCGGTACTCTCTTCTATCCACAGGATGACCTCAACCTTGGTGTGGAGGTTAGCCAATCTCATGCACGACATCATGCTACAGGGACAGACACACGTATGCATGCAGACAGTCACACAGACACCCATATGCATGCAGACACACATACACACACACACACACACACACACACAGATACACACACAGACACACAGACACAGACAGACAGACCAGGCTGGAAATGCTCCAAAGATTGTGAGAAGATCACACCATGGCAGTCTGAGAATATCTGGTGTCAAAGTCCAAGAAAGCAGTGTATTTTCCAAGTTTTGCTAAATCCTTGCATCATCAGGTTTATGAATATACAATCAAGTTTGATGCTCATTACTGTGATCAGTGAGCTGTGTGTGCATGTGGTTGTGTGTGTGTATACATGTGTGCGTGCGTGTGTGCGTGTGTGCACGCATGCATGTGTACGTGTGTGTTTGTGTATGTGCGTGTACACGTCTGTGTGGGTGTGTGCTGTCGCAGCTGCTGGCGGCAGCTGATCGGTTTCTGCTCAAGGGCATGGCCCTGCAAGTGGAATACCTCCTCTGCAACAAGATTGAACCCGATGTAAGTTGCTTGCAATTCAGTGGTCTTCGTTAGTACTGTACATGTATGCCTTGACTGTATCTTGCATTGAAGTAGTCTAACAGTTGTGGAGGTGAATTTGTGGGGCACTACTTTTCGGGGTGGACGAGGGGCAAGAGTACAGTCGTAACCCCTAGAGTGTCTGTGTGTGCAACAAAGCCTTGTTCTGCCTTATTTGGAAGGAAGCTCTGCCCATATTCGGTGTCAAGCACTGTGTGAGCAGAATACAGATAACTTGAGTTGCATTTTTAAAAAGCCTCGTTCTACCTTGCCTGTAACCTCTAGAGAGTGTGCAACTCCACTATCAGTGCTCTCCGGGCAGAAAACACTCAAGTTGACATCCTGTTTATGATGCAATGCGCTTTGTACACATTCTATGAGACGTACCCTGGACCGGTGGTGGACAGATCGCCGTTTGATATACAGTCAGACCTCGCATTTTTTTTTCTTCAGACTTTTCCTGTTTGCGTCTTTCCCTCAAACCAGTGAACTGTCTGAAGTAATATTTTTCTTCCTCCAGTCTAGTGTTTGTCCAACGCACTCTACTGCTGTTGCTGCTGCTGTTGCTGCTGCTGCTTGTTTTCAGGTTGTAATCCCACTGTACCAAGCAGCGTGTCTGTACGACGCACCGTCACTGCTGCGTCAATGCTGTCACTTCATCTTGTTCAACTACGTCAAGCTGACTGATCCGGGTAAGCGCTTTTCCTTGCTTGTCCTTGCAGCACGTACAGAGAGTTCCTGTGCGCTCTGTTTCTTCTCCCAGCCGCGGAAATCATCGCCTCTGAATCGATGCCCTGACTATTGTGTGCATGAGCATGATGGTAAATGCTGGTGATATCTGCCTACTTGACCTTTCTCATGTTACATGGGATAAACAGCTCTGCCTGGTAGCCATTCAGTGGCGTATGCTTGTTCTTGTACACAGCATTGTGGGCCAAGTAATTATTAGTTGATTTTCCTTGTGCACGAAACAACTACACGTGTCTGCATGTTTGTCCACCCTTGGTCAGCGGAATTGGTTGCTGAACACCCTACATGCCTCTGTGTTGGACTTGAATTCAACCCAGTACGCAGTACGCAGGACACAACACACCATACACAATACACACTAACTCACTAACACACTAACACAGCACACAATGCTGTAGACAGCTAGCTGTGTAGGCCTTCTAGGCCTCATAACAGTACTTGCAAGTACACAGTACCGTAAAGTACCGCCAGAGCGTCCCTTCCCGCGAGAGCGCCCCACCTTGATTTTACAGCCAAGGGAAGAACATCGTATGGCAGAATGCTACTAAGTTTGTACGATGTGAGAACCTTCGTGTACTAAGGTCACACTTGGTATGCTTTTATGTGGCGCTCGAAGGTAAACTGGGTACGGATTGACTGCACAATGTGCAATGTTTGTACAAGGTCCGTGTCGTATGACCTACAGACAGGAATCCACCTCCACAAGGCGGCCACGAAAGGACGAGATGGTGGGGCGCTCTGGCGGTACTTTACGGTACATGTATTTGCGTAGGGTACATGTACATGTACAAGCAATACAACCTCTGCCTGACAGCCATACTGATACTGAGCTCACAGTTTTGTGTGTCTACGGCGTTGTAACTTAAGCGTATGCGTCGTATAATACTGGTGATGATGTGTTTGCTCTTTAGATCACGAAACGCTGTTCCACATCCTGAAGAACCAACGGCCTGGCACCTGACCGCATTAAGGTGTGTGTGGTGCCGGAATCTGGACCGGGACCAACCCGTACGTGCTGTTCTGTTAGCTTTTGAAAGAAAACTTTCCGGAGGATTGTTGTCACGCTGGACCATCCTACTGTACAATACTGTCTTTGTCTTAACAGACACACTCTCATGAGACCTTTCTACCGCACAGCACACAACACTGTCTTGACTCACGCACACATGAGACCTTTCTACCATACTGCAGGCAACACTACCTGTTTTGGTCTTGACTAGCTTTAGTACACTGCACCTCTCTACTGAGTAACAGTTCCTGTACTGGGCATTTTTATTATTTTATTATTTTTTACTATGTTCACGTACCCAACTCGTAAATAATATAAATGAAAGACAATGGTACTGAGACAAGGACAAACATGACAAATACTGAGCACATGTCCCTGTTCTTAGTGTGAGCTCTTGGCTGTGGTGTCGAGACCCTGTAGGTCGGCGGAGCCTCAGCGCCTCCCCATCTCTGCCGAGTCCAGCAGCCCCTACTCGTTTGGCCTAGTCTCCGCCTGAGAGTTTTTATTAGTCTTTTCCGAGTTGGGCTGCGTGAATAGAAATATGCCTTGTTCAGCTTTCATCGACGAATGCCTGCCTGTCTTGTACTTTAATGAGCCGCTTCAACATACCTTTGTATAGTGTATTAATACCAGTGTTAACGTTATCTTTTCAGCTTCTCATACGCTTTAGAGTACTATTTTGAACAATATTTTGATATGCTGCAAGAATTACAAGTACAGTCGACCTACCCTTATAACGATAACCTCTATAACGATATTACCCTTATAACGATATTTTTCTGCCAAACCAAATCACTCCATTGACTTTTGTATACAATGCCCTACCCTTATAACAACATCGCTATAACGATATTACCCCTATAACGATATAAAATGGGCTGATCAATCAACATTTTCCATTTTGTAACACTATCTAGCAGGGAAGATGTAGAGCCCACTATCCAGGTAGGGCAAGCTTCACTTGATAAGTCGCTGGGACATGACGAGGGGCACCAGTGGGCACCTTGCTGTGTACATAATGTGCATGTATGTGAGTTTTTATGCTATGAAGAGTGTAAAAAATGAACAAAATCCATGCATTATGACATATGTGTATGAAATGAACCAGTTACCCCTATAACAATATTACCCTTATAACAATATTTCTTGGTCTGACGCAAATATCGTTATAAGGGTAGGTCGACTGTATTTGAAAAAGGTTATCTCATCTTGTTTTATCTTTTTAGTACAAGTAACATATTCTTCCCGTCTATCGTCTATCGTGCTCCATATCGTGTCTATTTTTAAATGCTATTCATCATCTCTCCCTTTTCCAGCTCTCGATGCTCAGTGATGCATCAAGCTGTCCATGATCATTGATGGTTTTTTTTTGTCAACTTCAAGATATCAGTGTCTACTACACAACCGAGAGTCGTGTTGCTGGTGTGGTGGAGGAGATCGGGTTGAGCATGCATTGGGAGAGGATCTTGGAAGTCCTATCGAAGGACATCCTTCCTATCCACGGTACCATCACGTCGCAGAAAACACTCACTCCTGCAATGTCTATTTCTGCAGGTGTCGCTAGAGAACCATGAACTTCGTGCCGGGAAGACAGACAAACGTCGTATGACTCCCTGCTTCGTGCAAACTGTGTCACTTTGTATACAGTGGTCACATGGTATCCTTCATGTCCGCCAGGATTTTGCCAGTAACTAGAGAGGTTAAGATGCACGTTATTTCTGACGTGACGCGAAAGTTCAGCTCGCGTTATTCGGCTCGTGCGTCGAAAAACAACGCGAGTGACCTGCAGCTCACGTCGAAATTTGGAGTTTCACGCCAAATTTGACGTGGAATTGCGCGTCACATCGGAAATAACGTGCATCGTAACCTCTCTATTAATGGTTTTGCAACGTGAATCTGGCATTCGCGATTCACCTCTAGCTCTGGAAAGAAAATGGTCACGTTTGTGCATCATCGAGAGAGAATTGTTTGGTCCAACATCCATGCAGGCATGTGCGATGTACACCGTGTGCAGATTCACTTTGGGCCAGGGAGTAGTAAAATACCGGTATTATTTCACTACTGATCCTTGCTACAGACTGCAGCAAGCACATAATGGGTGGTCAACTGCAAACCACATAGCTAGCTATACACAGACTATAATGTATTTCAGTAGTGTAGACCAGAGCTGAACATTTTGCATGGTGTCAAACGGCAAATACGTATTGTACGTGAGTACAGTACTGCATGCCGGGCGCCGAAGAACGGCCAGGCTAGAATGTCACCAATTTTTAACAATGGTGTAGGCTGGATTTGTTGCAGATAAGAACGGAAGCCCTAATACTAATGTACACTCAGACGTAGAACTCTGAATCAATGTACTTCAAGTATAAGACTGTACCATTGAATAAGAACCAAACTGCTGTGTTTGCTAAAAATAAGAACGGGCTATGCCATGCCATGCCATGCCATGCTAGAACCCTGACCTCCCACCCAGTTCTTCGGCGCCCGATAGTACTGTAACATCCCATCCTGTCTGATAGAAGGTGCACCGGCGCAAATTGATACATGTACCGACTAAAACAGGATTGAATCGACGGATAGCCGTTCAACACATAGATAGCCACACGAATACACACACACATACACATACACACACACACACACACACACACACACACACACACACACACACACACACACACACACACACTTGTACTTGTTGCTCACTGCCAAAACTGGTCACGTGGGTCTCCCCGGGAGAGGGGAGAGAGACTCCAAAGGAATCTTGGAAAGATGACTCAGTTGGTTATTGAACCGCCCAACGGCCGACACCCTCTGAAATCCCCAAAACTCTGGGTGGACTTGAAAATGATCCCACTTATGGGCTCACCACACCTCAGTAAGTGGGTGAGGTCAAGGTGCAGAAAAAGGATTGACGGCATCAGGGTATCCATCCCGGGATCCAACTGCAGTCACCCCTGCCCCCAGTAATGGTAATACTTGCTACTAGTGTGGGTGGCTAAATCAGAGTGGATCTGATATAAGCTTCACTAGCACCATTGATTACACAAGAGTTAAAATGTAGCCAGAAGCAGTCCATGGACATGGTTAACAGGTATGTACGCTTCAAATAGAAAATATATGAACCCTGGAACCAACAAAGGTGGCAGGTACAACAGTGCACCTTCAAGCAGCCGAGCCCGTTGGCAACAGACCCAACACGATCAGGCATAAGTGTACCCACCAACCGAACTAGCTGGCACACACACACACACGCGCACAACAAAGACATGTCGTAGCTGTCAGTACTACTTGTACTGGTAAACATGGTTACTTGATCAACACAACGTTACAAGGACGTATTCAGAAGCGTGTTTGTGCACAAACCAGCGTGCACAGTAGAAAGGAACGAAAATGAGGAACCTAAGAAACACACTGCAGGTGTCTAGGGCCATGATAAAATAATTACAATGAAAATGAGCATTAGAGAGTCATGCAGTTCTAAAAACACGCTTTACAAAGCAAGTCTATATACATACATTTGGAAATCATTGATGCACTCAATGTAGTCGAATTATCAGCACCTATATACAATATCAACAGGTTGAAAGCAGTGTTGTTCGACCGGCACCATAGTCTTTAGCGGCTGCGGACACAGCATAGTAATCTCTCTTTTGCATTCATATTTACACATGCACGCGTGCACGCATGCACACACCCACATCCATACATCTGTACACCTACACTTACATCCACCCCCCCCCCCCCCACACACACACATATACACACATATACACACACCTACCCACCCGTATATATATACACAAAGTACACGTGCGGACGAACACACACACACTAACACACACATCCGGTCGCCACTACTGCCCGTGATTGGCCACCGTCCGGTATATCGTCGTTGGCAGACTGCAGCCGACGGCGGTACTTTGCTGCACAGAGTTCATTACTGGACTAGCGCTGCTCGCACTTCGATTACAATGTGCTACCGCAGCCGATGGGCTACTGTCGGGAGTGGGACTGACCGGCAACAATGCCGGCATACCCGTGCTGTTAACAATCACGGGGATAGTCGTGAGTGTCGGCGGCATTGGCATCACCGGGGGTTGCTGGTGTGTCACAGGCACGCCGCCCGCACTGGGTAGCGGCTGCGGCGCCACGACAACCCCGCCGTTGCCGTGGCGACTCGGCACGGCACCGCCACCGTGCACTGTGTTGCCTAGCGACTGCGACTGCAACATACCACCGCCGTCGCTCGGATAGTCCTCGGTGGAGAAGTTGGGCACGCTCTTCAGCCGCTTACTGGCCAGCTTTTCCGGGTCCATGTTGAGCGGCTGGTAGAGGAAGGACTTGGGCTCGCTCTGCTCGTTGTCCGACTTGCGACGCAGTGCAATCCACACGCACACGGCTGATTGTACATAGAGGTTATGATAGGGCGGCGTGCGGAATACAATCGAAAACTGACGGTGCACGTCGGACGACGAGAAAAGACCGTGCGACGTCCACTTCGCGTCGGATCCGTCCGCCGGTCCGTCGTAGAACAGCACTTCTACGTCGTCCTTCTGCACTCGGTCGCACAGCAGGAAGACTTCGTCATTGCCGGCCACGCTGCCCGAACACCGGTCCATGCGGCAGATCTTCAGCGACGATGACGACGGCGCCTTGCTGTCAAACACCGGGTGAGATACAACCGGGGTAAGCGGTTGGTCAAACTTCCCCTCCGGACCGTCCAAGTAAGCCTGAAAGCAGAGACGAACAACACTGAGATTCATCCCGGCCGCTACATCCTTGCTGAGCGTGGTTAACGCGGCTTTGCGCTCTTCGCCGAGACTCTCCAAGATCTCAGCTTCCGTCAGTTCTTTCTCCTGCGGCTGTGCGGCCCATGAGAGTGTGTCGGTGGACTCTGGCAGGACCCCGTCGCCACCAATACGTTGAGCAGCCAGGGCGAAACGCACCAATAGGTTGCTGCTTACATTCTTCTTGGTGGCGTGCAGGATTCCCAGATTGAACGATGCCTTGAAATCCGTCTCCGCGCCGATCTCCGCCGTGCAGATGCCATTCTGCACTGAACGGCCAATCAGCCGATGTGCGTGAGGCTTGGCAGGATCGTCGGACGTGACCAGAGAGACGACAACCTTGGCTCTGCCCAGGTAATTCTTCAGCCTGACAGAGGGGTAGCTCTTCCGGTGTTTCTCCGATTTCTCTCCAGGCAGGCCGCCGTGTGAGGGTCCCTCACAGGGATAACGAAATCGAAATCCCCGTTGTCGCGGCTGCTCAACAATCTCCAAGCACGGAAAGGGTAATTTCCCCTCCACGGCGGGGGCCAGCATGACGCCACATTTCTCCTCAGTTTTGAGATTTTGCTGCTCGTTCGACTCAGCTGCAGTTGGAAGCAGCGGAGCAGGTGGCGGCACCACAGGAGTAGGGTCGGCACCACCTTTCTCGTCCGTCATGATGACAAGGACATCAGCTCATGAAAGGTAAGCAGATTCTGCCATTTGCATTATTATACAGTATCCAGCTGCGTCGTCTTCAAAACCTCAAACCAGGGAGTCGTAAAATACCGACTCCCTGCCTCAAACAAAAAGCATTTCGGAGTTGTAAAATGTTGACTCGGGACTCAATGACGTAGCAGCGAACATGGACATGCACAGAAGCTGAAGCAGGCCGCGAGACAACCAGGCGCTGAGACATTAGGGCGCCCAGGAATGGGATGCGAGGTACCGGTACACTGAGCCACAGTAGATCTACATTGTACAGTCATGTTGTTGGTTGACAGCATGTAACCATTTATTTATTTATTTATTTATTTCACCTTCCCGTGGCCAGAGAATATAGGCCAATATGGAGGGAGGGGGGCGGTAGCCAGCCATGGCAGTAAACAAAAACAAAGCAAAAATAAATAAATATTACACATTACTGGAGGCAAAGCCTGAGAAACAAATGTGGATGAAGAACTAGCAGTTATTAGAACACGAGCTTCATGTTGGCCTTGAAATCCTTTAGCGTACAAGACGATTTTACTGATAGAGGCAGGGCCAGCCAGAGAGAATAAGCAGCAAAAAACGGAGATCTGGTATAAGCTGAGGTTCGGGCTTTAGGTAAAGTGCAGGGATTGCGCGTAGGACGAGTGGGAAGAAACCAGTTATATTTACGCAAGTGTGGCGGGGCTTTGTCAAGACGAATAGAATGAACAACAATACACAGTTTTCGATCCGCTTGACTAGAGATAGGGAAGGTGTTAAACATATCATACAGCTCGGCAGAAGGAAAGTATGATGGTTTGCGGAAAAGGACTTTGAGTATCCTCTTATTGTGGACTTCCAGGGTACTCATTAACGATTTACTAAGTAGGGATGACCAGGCGGTTGAGCAATAGAGAAAAATGGGGAGAATATAGCAATGATAAAAAAAGGCGAATGCATTCAAGCGGTAGGTGGGAGCAGTGAGACACGAGGTAGCCAACAGCTTTACTGACTTTGCTACAGATATAGTCGACATGTCTACTAAACGATAAGTCTGAGTCAATGACCAAACCAAGATGTTTGTGTTGTTTTACCACTGTGAGGTCTGTGAGGGATCCGGGAAGAGTGAATGCATAGGTTGGCTCTGAGTTCGGCAGGAATAATATCTCAGTCTTGGCGATATTAGGTCTTAGTCTCCAGGTAGTCATCCACTGATGGACTTCGTTGATACCGCGCTGGAGACTGTCTCGCAGCCTGTCTAGACACTCATTGAACCGGAGCAGTGCAGTATCGTCAGCAAATAAGGACACACCTTCAACATGACTGGGAAGATCATTTATATACACTAGGAAAAGGAGGGGCCCTAGGATGGATCCCTGGGGAACTCCGGACAGAACAGGTGAAGCATCTGAGAGAGTTCCACCTACAAAGACAACTTGCGTTCTGTCGGATAGGTAGTCTGTAATCCACTCCAGCGCTGAGTCACACACACCGAAAACTTTGGAAAGTTTAGCAAGTAATGCACGGTGCCACACGGTGTCGAAAGCTTTCTCGAGGTCGAAAAAGCACATGGCAACTTTCCACCCCATATGACGATGGTCGGCAATGTTTTGGATCAGCTTGGTGAGCTGTAGAGCGGTCGAGTCACCACGACGAAACCCAGATTGCGCGGGATCCAGAGCAGGAGAAATATGATTATACAATTGATTGAAGAAGAGCCGTTCGCAAAGTTTGGAAATACAGGACAGGAGGGAAATTGGGCGATAGTTACTAGCTTGAGATTTGCTGCCTTTGCACTTGTAAATAGGCACAATTTTAGCCAGTTTCCAGTCAGTAGGGAACTTGCCTGTGGTAAAGGAGAGGTTAAATAGGCGGCTAAGTGGAAAAGAAATCGCAGGAGCTAGCTTCTTTATCATATTGTTCGTGATACCGTCTAGCCCTGGCGCTTTCCCAGATTTCAGGTTTGAGATGGCTTTACGAACATCTGCTGTAGTGATATGAACGCGGGTGAATTGGCGAGTAAGACGAGTGTCATATTGGAGAGGGGGTATTACTAAACGTGGGTCATCAGGCACCGCGACAGAGGTAAACTGTTTGTTGAGGATGGTTGCTTTTTGGAAGCTGTCGGACACCAGCAGCCCATCAGGGCTTGCAATGTCAGGGATGCCAGGTTTTACTTTGTGCGATCGCTGACTGCGGACAAACTGGTGAAGCGTAGTGTTGCCTGAGGTAAGTGTTGTTTTGATTGAACGAATGTACTGGCGGTGGCACCAGCGGGAGAGATGTCTCACCTGGTTCCGCTGTGCCTTATATGCTGATAGGTTGTAGTCCGTAGGGAATTTCTTGGAGAGGCTGAATAGGTCACGCTTCAACTTGATAGCCTTGCGTAGTTCAGTGGAAACCCATGGATGATATTTGCGTGTAGACCCTGGGGTTGAGGGAGTTCGATTTGGTTTGCGGGAGCTATGAAGGGGAAAATACTTGGACAGCACAGTCTGCAGGACACTGTGCAGGTTACTAAGTGCACTGTCCACGTCTGAGGATATTAATGAGTTCCAAGGTACTGAGTCTAAGTCTGCATTGACCGCCTCCCACACAGCAGGTGTGACGTGTCGGAGATCGAAAGACATAGAGTTAGGCTCCTGAGCTTGAGACGTTATTTCGCGGGGAGACTGAGGCAGGGGGATGTCGAACTGGCAGTACACAATGGCATGGTCTGAGGCGCCCAGAGGGCAGTCAGTTTCGACGCAAGACGAGAGATTGGCACGGTTACTAAATACCAAATCCAAGCAGGCTTGGACACCAGAGGGTGACGTGTATGTACATGTGTTGACGAGTTGGTGAAGACCAAATGGACTGAGCGTGCGATACAATTCAGCACCGGCAGTATTGGTGGAATCTGTCGAACACCATGACGTGTGCTTGCTGTTAAAATCACCTGTCAAGATAACGTGAGAAGATGAAAGAGGAAGAGTAATGAGTACGTCTTCAAGAGTCTGGCAGTACCTTGCTATATCTGTTGGCTTAGCAGAAGGTGGACGATAACTGCAGCAGAGGAGGATCGGCTCAGCTGCAGCCGGATACGGCTGGATTTGAACCCAAACGGCTTCGCACCCATCGCGAGCTAGATCGGGACGCATGGCAACAGACTTAAACTTATTCTGTCGAACAAGGATAGCGACACCACCATAGCCTCTTGCACTTGTCCCGGACTTATTCTCTGCAGGGGGCCTGTCCCTCCGGAAGGTGCCATAACGCGTAATATTAAGTGCAATATTCGGGTCGAGCCAGGTTTCAGTTAGGCAGATTATGTCAGGCTGCCACTCTTCAGCAACAATAGTAAGCTCTGTACACTTATTTACTACAGAACGACAGTTGGTTGATAGGAGTGTGAGCTGGGGTGGTGTAGAATGCTGGTGAGTGGTAAGGGAGTGTCTGGTAGGAAAGAATGGGTGTGCGTGTGGGTTCAGTGAGGAAGGTGGGTGTGGGTCTAATTGCATGGTTTAGTTACTAGCAGACTGATCCAAGGTTGTGCTGTCAGATGCAAATCTCCATTCCCTGATGGAAACTTTGCTTGGCCAGAAATCTTCTTCGAGAACCTGGTCAGTATGCTCAGCCGGAACAACAAGGTGAGCATAAGCAGTACCAAAGTATTTGGACTCCGAAATTGAGCAACTGAGGACGTCAACTGCTTTCTTTTTGCACCACTCCCTGATAGAGTCAGCCTCACACCCAGGATCGACATTTCCGAGGTAGAAGCACTTCCGCTTGATCCTTTCTGCCCCCTGGAGGCTGCCTCGCTTACTGGACATCGGCTTTTTGTACTGTGATGTGATAGAACGCTGCAGTGCGGGAGCACGAGCCATGTGACGGTGTGGAGGATACTGCCAACCATTACGGTCAGTGTCACCAGGAGTGCCAGAGCTGGTCATTCGCGTGCCATGTTTGGGTGCGGGAGGTGCGTACTGGGAACCTACTTGTACAATGGGCTCTGTAGAGGATGCGCCAGGAATGGTAGAAGTGTACATATTTGGACCTACTTGTACATTGGGCTCTGTAGTAGATGCACGTGAAAGGGTGGCAGCGTACGTATTCGGTTGGTACCGAGTGGTTAGTGGCACTCCCGGGGCTCGCACTTGCTGACTTTTGAGCTCCCCCATCTCTTCCCGCAATCGTGACAATTGGGCTTTGAAGTTTTCTTGCGAAGACTTACTTGTTTCAATCACATTTCGTAGTTGCGAAATTTCATTTGAAAGTGCTCGGACTACGTCTAACAGTTCTGATACAATTGGTACCATACCGGTTTCAGATGGCGCTCCTCTGGCTGGTGCGCTGGCTCCCTGGCCCTGCTTACGGAGAGCGAACACGAGGTCCGCCCTGGATAGGTCGTCCCATCCTGGAATTCGGGCGTCCTTGGCTACCTGCTGCAACACATTGAACTCGATCAGGGCTAGGTCTAGGGTTGAGTCCGCCATAGCTGTGCTTCCTTGGTCAGTGCTCGACAAACAAAACAAAAGTAAGGAGCCGATTGGCGGAGCAACAAAATTTGCTTTCACCTACTACCACACCAAAAAAGGAACCATGGTAACAAGGTGGAGACCAGTCTGTGACTCTGTGTTCGGAAACAGTGACCTTACTACAACCTCCGTGGTTGATAGAGCCCCGGTCTTTATGACCATCTGAACTGTATGGGTGCTAAGTAGGCATGGGCGGGTAATGCTAGTTATTTGCTGCGATAATGCTAAAGGCAGAATTACAGATGGAGCGGACTCGCTCCCTTCTATTTACACTGCAACGTTCGAACACATTTTCGTAGTTAAAACACGGTTCATCACGCAATCGGTTCGGCCACCTCCAGCCTCAAGGCACAAGAGTGTTCGACAGCAAAGACGCTTCCAGTACTGTCTCCGACTTCTGAGCGACGCAATACAGGACAAGTGCGCAGAAAGGGACTTCCGTACAAGACAGTGCCGGTACTTCTGCGAACAGCTTTGGTCGTTTTCCAGGGAGGATTACGTGC